AGGTCCCACCCCCCTTAATGTAATTTAGGCCCCCCACCTGCCGCTCATGGGTGGGGGTCAGGGGAGAGAACAATAGGTCCCACGATGTGACAAGACCAATCTCGCCACTGTGCATTGGAAGAGCCTGGTTGCCCACCTGCTGCCTTTAGACTATGGCCCCATGTTGAAATGCTTGATTTTCCCCTGCGAAGACACAAAAGCCGGGTCATTCGGTGCTGGCCCTGTTTGAGCGGTGATGCCCCAGATAGCTATGCCATGGAGCCCATTCGTATAATGAAAGACTATGGGAAAGACTTTGGCTCCATGGCAATTGAACTGTATGTGTGTGCTCTGAGCGCCATTCAGTAATAATGTACGCTCAGATCTGAGCTATCAGATCTGAGCTATCTGGGGATATGTTGAATGTACCTGTTTTGTGCAATGGCTGCACAGTTATATATTTGTATGTGTTTTATTGTCTTTTGCTGCCATGTGTTCAATGGAGTTTGCCTCTGTCCTTGGAGATAATTGGATTACTTCCCAATTATCTCCAGGATAGAAGACTCTGTGGAACTGGTTTTGGGCAGAAAAGCCATGCTTCATTTGGTCACAAAGGACTTCGATCTATCTTTTGAACCAATTTGGATGATTTTGACATATGTTTGTATTTGGAGTATGCTGCGTATGCTGATTCTGAAAATGTAAGTTTTATGTGAATGTGATGCATACTTTTCAAGTTATGAATAATGTGGAAAAACTGTATTTCTCTGCCGGTGATAATTACATTACCCATTGTGTAAGGTAATTGTATCACAGGCAGAGGGGAGGATTTTGGGTGTCTGAGTGTATTGTATGTGTTTATTGGTTGTTTTCCAAAACCCTGTGGGTGGTACTAATGTGTAAGAATGTGTATAAAAGACCCTCAACACGGAGCTTTGTCTCGTTCTTGGGGGGATTTATTGTATGCTGTTCCAGTTCGACTGCTAGGAGTGTAAACCTTTCGTATGGCTTTTCCTATTCGGCTGTTTACAGCATTCGTATGGTTCCGGTTTGACTGTTTGCGGCATTCATATGCTTGTCCGGTTCGGTGTATTGGTGTCTACAGTATCTGTGCCTGTGTCTCTGGAAGGGAAGATCTACTAAACGGCGGTTTAACCCTTTTATTCCTGGGGGTGCAGTTACACACCCCCCTTATTGTAATTCAGGGCCCACATCCACCGTTCATAGGTGGCGGCTGAGGGCAGACCAATAGGTGTTCCCCCCCCCGAAAGTAATTTAGGGCCCCCACCCGCCGCCCATGGGTGGGAGGACAATAGGTTGTCCCTCCATTTTTATTTAGGGCACCTACCTGCTGCTCATGAGTGGGGACCAGGGGGGGATGATAAGTCTCCCCCTTTGTCAGTTGGGGCCCCATCCGCTGCTCATGGGTGGGGGGCGGGGGGGGAGGACAAAAGGTCCAACCTCTTATTGTAACGGATGCTTTTCTCCTGCTCTGACCACAGTAAGCCTCAGATCTGTGTATCTCGAGTCTCTGGTGGATGCCAGGTATGATTCAAGTGTCAGGGTGATCACCCAGGGATTCTCAGCTCGAGGACGTACTGTCCCCCCAATTTTTATTTAGGGCCCCCAACCGCCGCTCATGGGTGGGAGGACAATAGGTTGTCCCCTATTTTTATTTAGCACCCCCACCTGCCGCTCATGGGTCGGGGGATGATGGGTCTCCCTCATTGTCATTAGGGCCCCCAAATTTACTTAGTATTAGTAAATTTGTCTAAAAGACCAATTCAGGTCTTTCAGCGTTTTGGTAGAAATCAGGGGTCACCCCTGGTCGAGCACAGACCTCCACGGGTCATCAATCAGGGCCGATGGATGACTACCTCTCCACCCCGCAACACCTGGCCGGCGCACGCGGCTCAGACAACATGGCACCCTCGTCCATGGGACTAAATAGCCAGACAGGCTCCACACGAGACTCCCCAACCCGAGACGTACTTACACAGCTGTTGGCAGACCGGCGACGATCTCGGCGAATATGCTCACCCGAAGTGACAAGACAGAACTCATTGCCGAGCTCTGATCCGCAATCCGTGAGGAAATCAAAGCCGTGAGAATGGACCTCGCGGTGCTGGAACAAAGAGTAGATAACTTGGAAGTTCACTGACTACAATCAACCCAGCACCAACGGGCAACAGACCTGGCTACCACAAGGCAAGGTATTGCTCGACCTAAGACACCAGGTAGAAGACCTTGATAATCGAGGTAGACGCAATAACATACGTGTCAGGGGTATGCTGGAATCGGAAGGAGAAGCGCCACGAGAGCTGCTGGAGGGCCTGTTCGCCCAAATCCTGGGAGATGAGGCCCCACCAGACTTCGGGCTGGAAAGAGCACTCAGAGCCCCACGAAGGGATGGTTTGCCCCGAGACCTGATCTGCTGCCTCCGGTCGTTCCAGTTGAAGGAGAACATAATGAGGGCGGCCAGAGCACAACGCTCAATCTGGTATATGGATTCGCATATAGCATTATACCAAGATTTGTCCACCCTCACCCTGGACACACGAAGAGCCCTAAAACCGGTCACCAGCCTTCTACAGGAGAAGAGGGGGATTCCCGTTTAGCCTGCAAGCCAATGGGAATCAATGGTACGTCCTGCGATGGCCCAACGAAATCCCTCGTTTTCTGCGCTCCGTAGGCCTACCGGACATGCCTATCCCAAACTGGATACTGGACTGCCCGCCGGCTCGACCAACAGGCACAACTACACCAGCGAATAACCTTACGGACGGAGCCCCACCTGGGTCGACCCAACGCAGAGGCGGCCCTGCGACACCAGAGGAATAAACTGATGAGGATCCCCCGGGACGCGGGCCCCGCGAGACACCCCCATACACAGGAAACGTAAGTATCTCATGGCGGTAGAACACTACGCGCCCCCCTTTTGCCCCCAGAGAACTTGCTGTGGCCAAGGGACACCGAGACTGCTCACCCAGGGTATGTACTAAACTTCCCCCCATGCCGAAGGCCCCACAACAACCCAGAGGAATGCACCTCCCCAGGGGGAATCAGATATTGGGAGGGGTATGGGAGGGGAGTCGAGGGCTACACTGGGATGCACAAGCTTACAGCCACATATGGATGCACCTCAGCCCCTAGGGGAATAGGAATGTTTGGGTGGACTGATCGGGTTAAGGTGGGATGCCGGCCCGGTTGAGATGGGTCCATATGAGAAGCACGCACGGAGCAAGGTGGGACTGTGGGTTTGATGTACGTTGTTCTCTTATGGCACCTCAGGCCCCGGGAGGCTCACCCATATATACTAATGGGCAATACAAAGAGGCATATCGACCCAGTATGCTACATGCAATATGTTCGGCAATCCTGGGCTGAATGCTGCCGACAGGTGGGGGTTAGGGGAGGGCTGCGGGAAAGGGGGAGCAGGGGGTCCGTCCACAAGCCCGCACCACCCCGGCTGTCCGAATCTACCCCCGCTGCCGGGTGGGCATAAGGCGGGGGGGGCGGCTGCAGTGTGGGGCGGCTGCGTCCCGGGGAGAATTTCGGGGGGAGTTACACACCATAATCCTGTTAAGCTCTCATAGAAAAGTAATCAATTCTGTTCCACGTTAAATACAGTTTAACTTTGTTGTTATAAGATGGTGTCGCACCAGAGAGAACCTACAGATGGAGTCAGTGAGGCTGGGGTCGCCCCGGAATACGCCCGTATCAGCCTGGGGAGAGAAAAGGGGGATTTTGGGCCCTGAGAGGATCCCAGACCGAAGGTCCACAGGGCAAAGTTGAATAGGCTGCAAGCCATAGGGTGGAGTGTCGACGGACAGAAGACCCGGGTACAGCTAGACGGATCAGGCAGGACAGAGGTCCACCCACACAGGGTACAAGCCGGACAACACATAGAGCCCGGACAGCAACTCAGCTCAGGGAGCATATCCCCCCCAGCACAGACCTTGACTGAAACCGGGTAGCTACTTCACTAGATGGTACACCCCGCGGGTTGGGAGCAGAGGGAGCCTGCCAACGACTTGATCTACACGTACGTGCGACTGACACCGTAGGTGGCCTCCCTCACACCCCGCGTAACTGATCTTTACTGTAAATACCGGTCGGAGTTCGGAGTGGTTGCTGCGAAGCGGCCCCCGAACGATTCTACTCGACTGAGGCTCGAAGTTGCTTCCTTCTCCCCACCCAATTTTTCCACGACCGGACTTCTAACCACCCCACCTTCTCTCCCCTCAGAACATCCACCCCCACTTTGGAGGGCGCACCCTCTCTCATTCTCCCCGAAAAGCCCTGGTCAGGGACCCGCACCAGGAGGGCATGGCGAGATTCAGCCCAGCGCAGCTCACCCTGTGGTCTCAGAACATTAGGGTTCTTAACCTACCCGAGAAACGCGCACAGCTACTACGAAAGCTTTGGACGGAGAGGGTGTCCTGTGGGGATATTTATGGGATGATAATAGTAAACAGTCGAGAATCGCCCACTATTTCAATTCTCTTATATCTCAGAGATCGTTATCATGTAAGTGAAATGTATTCCATACAAATAAAATCACAATTTGTTATAAAAATAGATTTAATTTATTGTGACAAATTAAATAACAATAATATTGGGCAGCATGCATGATAATAATCAGTGAATATTTAGTATAACATAAGTATGCAATACAATGGAATGGCTATACACGTTCCAATGGCTAACAGCATCACCTGTCACTTAATAAGATTTATGAGGGTACTTCACAGACAGAAAGTAAAGCTTCACACAGCGAAAAGCCATAAAACCTTGGCTAACAGTTAAATCAACTGAGTAACCCTTTCAATGCTGGCTAGATCCTCCTAGGCATATAATATCCTATTCTCATGTAATTTTCAATTAAAATAACATTCAAATCAGCTCATTAATCATTTCCTGGAACCATCCAATAAGAATAATCTACCAGATTTTTACAAAAGCCGAATTTTAATTTGCCTAAAAAGATATCTTATCTTATTTTAGAGCAAATCAATACACCTGGATAAAAACAGCTGTATGCTAACACGTGATACTATCACATTAATATATAATTATTCTTAATTCCACCTGCAGAATGGAATGTTTATAACTATATATTCTTTAGTTAACTAAGATTTCTAAATATTGAAATCTGACCGTGATTTATCCAGTCATATATCATGCTATTAGTAAATTTTAATTAATTTAGATTAATTAAATAAAACCAGCATAATTACCAGTTATGTAGGTATTCTCATCAGATGAGTAGGTAGTCCCAGGAACTTGCGAGTATGATTGGTTGTATGGAGGTACGTGAGTAATAGAGAAAAGTGGTGTTGGTTAGAAGTATCAGTAAATTTTAAGTGTCAAGGAGTTTAAGAGTTGAGTGTTAGTTCCAGAGAGTGTCCTGAATCTCTCTCTGCATGTCCGAATCTGAATTCCCAAACTTCACCAACTAACTTCTCTCTTCCCGTTGTCCTAACTTTTAAAGGGCCAGACTCTCTGTACGTCATTAGTTGATAAAGCCAATAGGAAACTGAAGGTGTGTTCAATCTATGGATCGCAATTTAGGTATTTGGTCCATAGAAGGCAGACTCGCCTTACTAAACCTTCCTATCCAGGAAAGAGTTAACTTTTCCTGATGACGATTTTGACGTCATTCGGCTTATCTAAAATGACTACCATAACTTAAATTTGCTGTCAGTTCAAAGCGTTTGTCTCACTCTTTGTGGCAACTACTTTGATCTTAATTTCTAAAATTGACAGTTCTTAACTCAATTTCACCCCTTACTTACAATGAAACCTTATAAAATTTAGTAAGTAAAATTAATTACTTAGTCTTCTCTGTCACTAGTGTCTGTGTTTATATAATGCATTCCTTAGCTCAGGCTCAGTGGTTAGTGAAAGCAAGTAAATTATGTGTCTTTGTTATCCTGAAGATAGCAAAATGGAGTCTGCTCTGTTCTGAGTGACTCTGGCAATATACACTTTTAATTTCTTTCTTAGCACAAAATGTCTGCCGATATAAATATTCTGACAGCCCGTAGCGTTCCTGCAGGAGACGCATTTTAGAGGCCAAGACGCAATGACACATTTGAGAATAGACGCTTCCCGCAGGGATACTATGCTAACCACCCAGACACTAGGAAAGCGGGTGTGGCGATACTATTCGCACACTCGGTGCCGTTCCGACACATAGTCACTTATAGACTCAGGCGAAGGTATATCTTCCTCAAGGGTTCCATTGCGGACCTCACCTACACTTTCGCATGCCTATATAGCCCCAACCGTAGACAGCACACCTTTCTTGCCAGGACACCGGCCAAGCTTGACAGGTTCAGAGAGGGCCTCTTCATGATGGCAGGAGACCTAAACGTCCCTATAGACTCACGCATAGACTCCTCGCAAGGCACAAGCACGATCCCAGCGCATTGCCTGCGCTCGATACGACGATCCCTGACCAAGATGGGGTTAGTAGAGGGTGGTCCACCCAGATGACAGGGATTTCTCCTACTACTCGTCAGTACACAAACAATACAGCCGAATAGATTATATATTCATGCCTCAGGAAAGTTTGTCCCTCCTTCAAGACGCAAAAATAGGTAGTATACACCAATCCGACCCCGCACCGTCATGATGCAGATGAAATCCCCATTATTTAAGCCCACGGAGCGCCAGTGGAAACTCAATGAGACCTTACTGGACGGCCTGGAGGCCAGCGAATCAGCCCTATAGACTATCACACACTACTTTGAAGCGAATGACACTCCCGACATGTCCCCACTGACGTTATGGGAAGCCCATAAATGTGTTATTCGGGGTCACTACATATCCATTGGCACACAGCGTAGGAAGAACAGGGCATGCCTAATCTCAGACCTAACAAAACAGATAGCTGAGATAGAAAACTCACATAACAGACATTAGATGACAATGTCTACTTACAACTTACAGAGGCACGTAGGGCACTCGCAGACCACTAATCCCAGGGCCTGCTTCACACCCTACGGAAATCTGCCAGGTTCTTCTACGAGCACTCCAATGGAAGACTCCTGGCGAAAATGCTCCAGGAGAAACAAAGATCCCAACACATCCACAAGATAAGCACACGAGACGGACGAACCACCGGAATGCCGGAGGGCATTATGGAGGCATTCAGGGCTTATTACACGGACCTGTACAACCAGTCTCGGTCCCAACAGGGGGGCGCGGCCCAAACCCATCGCCGACAAGTCACAGACTACCTGGCACAGCATGTCAACCGCAAAGTTACACCAGAACTCGTGGAAGAACTCGACAGCCCCTCTGACACTGGAGGAGCTAGCCGCGGCACTGAAGAAATCAAAACCACATCGAGCACCAGGCCCAGATGGCCTTCCTCTGACATATCTACGGACATACCGGGATGTGCTCCTGCCAAGACTTCTGGCGAGCCTAAATGCTATACGGGAGGGAGGAAGATTCCCCACATAGTCCCCCTGAGATGGGAAAGATCCATCCAACTGTGCGAGCTACAGGCCAATCTTGCTGCTGAATGCCGATCTAAAACTGTTCACAAAGGCCCTTTCACTGAGAATATCCTGTATTCTAACGGACCTGATTCATCATGATTAGGTTGGCTTTATTCCAGGCAGGGAAGCCAGGGACGATACCATACGGGCGCTGAACGTTATCCACAGTGCGAGGTCCAGGGGACGAGACGCAGTCTTCCTCTCGACGGACGCCGAAAAGGCGTTCGACCTAGTGGACTGGGTATACCTGAATGCACATGGGCTTTGGCGCACACATGCGCTCATGGATCTCGGCCTTGTACACCACGCCGACAGCCCGGATACGCGTAAACGGAGTCCTAATAAAACCTTTCCCTATATGCAATGGGACCCGCCAGGGCTGTCCCCTCTCGTGTTTGCCCTCACCCTGGAGCCATTCCTGGAGGCGGTCAGACGAGACGGGGGAATAACGGGGGTGCAGGTGGGAACGGAGGAACGTAAAGTAGCGGCCTACGCCGACGATATGCTCTTCTTTCTGGAACAACCCATGATCTCGGTGTCCAACCTGCTACAGGCACTCCAAGGGTTCCACCAAGTATCCCATCTGAAACTCAACCTAGATAAATCAGAAGCTATGCCGATAATGCGGAACGCTGAGGATATTAACAGGCTCAGTGCCCAGTTTACCTTCTCATGGTGCGCGGTGAAACTGCGATACCTTGGCACCTGGCTACCGAGGGACCTGACACAAGTGTACCAACTGAACTTCCTCCCTCTCCTCAAGGCCATACAACAAGACCTCCAATGCTGGACGGCACGCTATATCACCTGGTTTGGCCGTATTAATGCGGTCAAGATGAACGTGTTTCCGAGGCTGTTGTACTTCTTATCTACATTACCAATAAAGATCCCGCAGTCATTCTTCAAATCGGTGGAGACGGCCATCCGCAGGTTCGTGTGGAACCACAGACCGTCACGCATCCGCAGGTCGATCCTGGAGCGACCAAAGTTAGCCGGAGGGTTGGGGCTACCGTCAGTGACCACATACTACCGAGCTACACACCTGCACAGAATAGTGGACTGGTACGCACGCCCAAGCCCAAAACACTGGGTGAACATGGAACTGCAACAAACACAAGGCAAGATTCCCTCGAGACTTTGGCTTGGGGGAGCCACATTCGCGGAGCTACACACGGACAACCCCATGATAGACGCGACACTCAAGGTCTGGTGCAACCTACGATACGCTCAACAGCTAACCACCATCACGCACAACCCGAACTTGGCAGGAGGCCTCCCCCCTGTAGTATTAAACTTCCAACAGACGGATTGGTTGTACATATACCAATGGTGTCCGGGGGGGACGCTCCAGCCACTGGCCAAACTGATGGAGGACCAACAACCCACCCAATTAGATACATTTTGCTATCACCAAGTGAAGACATACCTTGCCAAACTCACTGGTAAGGACCACATCCATAGGCAACACATTGAACATTGGGTGTCACTCCTATACGGGATTCTACAGAGGACCAGGGACACCAGCCCCTTGGGTTACATAAGCAAGTGGGAAAGGGAGACCCGGACACAACTGTCAGATCAGGAATGGGACAAAATAGTCCTCCTAACCCACAAATGCTCCATTAGTTCAAAGTTTCAAGAGACCAGCTACAAGTTGTTGACACACTGGTATAGAACGCCAGACACCCTTAGACACATCCATGAAGCCAATACGGGCGAATGATGGAGATGCAGCACGGCCCTGGGAACAAGCCTACACATCTGGTGGTCATGCCCCCGCATAACAACTTACTGGCAGCTGATCAACACAAAGATCAAATAAATCACTGGAGATGACCTCCCCCTACAACCCATGACGATGCTCTTACACTACACACCCACCCCCACGCAGAAATACAAAATCGCCCTTACCATCACGCTGTTGAATGCCACAAAGGTGTTGATACCCCTGCATTGGAAACACCCAACACCACCCACCCTCAGGCAATGGATAGATAAAGTTGAGAACATATAGGACATGGAGATACTGACGGCCTCCCTGCAGGGACGCTCAGACAAATGCGCACTAAAATGTTACCCCTGGAGGCTATACATCTCGAGGGGGATAGCTTAAACATACCTCGGACCGGTAAACGGCCCTAGGAAGTAGATTCGGGGCACATAGACACGTGGAAACATACCCCCAATTGATAGGTAAGGGGCGCAGCGATAAGTTAAGTGTGACCCCACCCGTGCATCGGACAAAAAAAACAGTCTAGTCCTGAAGTACATGTCCAGTAATGCAAAGCATTTACCTTTAGGTGATGGGACCTTAAAATAGCTGTGGATTTAAACAATTCTATTGTTTTTTAAGACTGTATTCTTCAAACACTGTCTCCAGATTCTGGCATTTTACCTTTTAGTAATCTCCCCATATGTTTTAGTAAATACTATGTTGTGTTTCACCATCTACTTAAAAGTCAGAGTTGTTCTGTAATGCCAGACAGAGGTAGTTGTTGATCAGGGTAGTGTGGTATAATGTATAAAGTTCATGAATGAGTGTAGACGATTCTAAAACAACTAAAAAGTTAATTTGTTCACCTACTGAGAATAACTATCTACTGTAAAGACTTATGGGTATATTCACTCATTCAGTTAGAATAAAAACAGCATGCATGATGTTGTGGTGCACTGTGCTCTGTTTTGCCAGTTTGTAATCATAGAGTTAGAAATGGTGATGCATTTACTGGTAATCAGGGGCATTTAATGATTCATCAGAATGGTTAATAATATGACATACCTCCCTTATCCCTTTTTTCTTCTCTCTTTGATGGAGTACTTTGCAGTGGTTAAGTGTAATAGTTGTTAAAGATCACATAACGACCATCGTGGACAGCAATGAAAACTAAATCATTCAATATACTTCTTCGGTTTTCCTTCTCCATCATTTCTTTTTTTTGACACTTGCAACAAAACTAGGCATTGGTACACAGTCATTATATCTCTCCAGCACATATCCATAGCTCCAGGGCCACATGCACTTGAAAATTGCACTCAAGACCTGTAGGAGAGCTGCTACCAAACATCATGGACCACTATGAGTGGTAATTCTTATTACCACATCTCTGGAGTAAAACTGCAGTAGGATAAGTAGTAGCAGCAACATACGTGGGGTAAGGGAAAACTATTGCATTTGAAGAAATTTAAATTCTATCTTGCAACTAAAATCCTTCTATTAAATGATTATTCCAAACACCAAGACCACTTCTGTGTTTTGAAGTGGTCATGGTACAAGGAACCTGCTGGACATACTGAACTGTAGCAGAAGCTACAAAAGATGCAATTCTACCTCTCACCGTTTTCATTAGCAACAGCAAGATCACCATTTAGTTTCTCCAGATCTGTAAAGCCAGGTGTGTCTTAGCCACCATTATTTAAAGAAATAATTTAGTGTCAGGAATACAAACATTTATTCCTGTCACAGTGGAACTGGAATGCAGCATTAGGTCCCTGGCCCCACCTCCATGGCTGAGATAATCAATCTTGATGATCATCTCAGCCAATCCAATGCTTTTCCATAAGAAAAGTGCAAATTAGCATCTCCTCATAGAGATGCACTGATTCAATGCACTTCTATGGGGAACGTTTAGCGCTTCCATGCAGTGTGTTTAGACTCTAGTGGCCATCTATGTGACTGCTACTACAGGTGTAACTAGCCAGCAATCTAAACACTGCCTTTTCTTTGCAAAGGCTGTGTTTACTGAGCTAAGCCATAGGGACATTTTATAGATACCAGAATCAGAACCACTACTTTAGACTGCAGTGATTCTGGTGACAATAGTGTCCCTTTAAGATGTGGTGTTCTATCATTCTGCTATACTCCGTCAGATTTCCATACCCCCGTCACTTCCGGGGAGGGGAATCAGCTGGATCCTGTGCTGCACATGCGTGCTAGCACTCCTGCTACTCCTCCACAGCAAGGTCCTGGAAGGTAAGTAAAACTAGTTTTACACTTTCATTATAGTTAGTGCATTCACTAAGCTTAGGCACACGGGACATTTAGGGTTAAGTGAGGGTTCAAATTAGGGTTAGGTAAGTGATTCTAACCTCTCTCAAACTCTATTCTTACCATAACCCTTGGGGTAAGGGTTAAAATATAGTGTGAGAAATCACTATTTAGTGATATTCCCCTAATGTGAAATATCACTAAATAGGAACAAGTCCCTAATCCTAACCCTAATTTGAACCCTAACATTAACCCTAAATGTCCCATGTCCTAAGCTTAGTGAATGCACTTACTATAATGAAAGTGTAAAACTAGTTTTATTTACCTTCCAGGACCTTGCTGTGGAGGCGTAGCAGGAGTGCTAGCACACATGTGCAGCACAGGATCCAGCTGATTCCCCTCACCGGAAGTGACGGGGTATAGAAATCTGACGGGGTATAGCAGAATGATAGAACAGTGGCACCCAATGAAGTAGCAAACCATTTAATTCTATACTAAAATTATTTATAAGAATCATAACCTTTGGTATGATGAATATCCACCTTTTGTGTAATGAACATCACTAGGAACAGGTAACCCCGAAAATTAAATAAAATGGAATTAAAAGAGATTGGCTTTTTTTGTGACTAAATGAGAAATACTAAGTTGCAGTCCTAAAACATTTGGGGATTTACCATTTGCACGCCCCTGTTAAACCAATAGGTGTTTCCTTTGCAGACAACAAGCACCCTCTCACCCCAAACATAATCCACTATCCTGCTTGAACAAAAATGCCAGTTCTTTTTTTACCCTCGGTTCCTTCATGTCTATACCCAGTTCTTTGCTAATTTTTAGATATAGTAATCTGGTTATATAAACTTATTTCATATTAACTCCACATTTCTATATACCAGAGGGTTTTCTCCAAAAACAAACAAAAAAAAACCAGTGTTTTCATAAAACATTGGTTTTGGTTAGAGTAACCCTTGCTGTGCTGGTCTGCCTGTCCACAAATTAAAAAAAAAATTTTTTTTTTTTTTTTTTACTGGTGATGAATTCTCCCTTATTCTGGCTAATGATGTGGCTGGAGCATGAGTTGCACATCTGGAAGCAGAGCAGTTTAAGTAAAAAAAAAAAAACTGCAAATACAGACTCCAAGCACTATGACCACTTCAAACCACTTTTTAACTAATTATATTTCCTTACTTTGCTAGCCTCCTATTTATATTGTAACATGCTCCATATATTCAAATTTTCTGTGTATTATATTTACTTTGTGCTTGAATGGCAAGATGCCTAGAACCACTCTCTGAACTGGTATCGTGTTTTTTTAAAAATAATATGTCTCCCTTAAGAAATTTTTATCTTCGTGTATCCCACTCAGACTAGAGTTTTAAAGTTGATGTGATGTTCTCCCCATTTGAATGTCTTCGGTGCATTCCTACCTGTTAGAAGATGCAATAAGCATGTAACTATCTGCCTTTTCAGTATATTCATTAGGAGAATCCTGCCAAAACTACCGGTATTTTAGAGATAACTTTGTTTTATTTCCTTAAATAAAAGTTCCTCTCATAAGAAGAAAGAAAAATAAAAACAGAGAATTCAATTTAGGTCAAGGTGACTTTATTGCCCATACAGCATACGTAATACCCTCCAAACACATTTCATAAATCCATCAATTTTAACTAATCAATTAAAAGGTTAATAATAATGTAACACTGAACAGATAAGACCTTTTAATGTGTAATTAAGTACTACATGGTATAGAGTCTCATCACCATTATGAATCTCACATACTTGCTAAAAATTCGCTTTAATATTTTTGTGACTACACTTTCTATTCTCCCCCCCTGACCATATAATTGTACACACCTTTTTTTTCTTTTTTTAATGAACATTGTGACAGAATAACATTAACTTGATAAAGGCATCACGCTTGATGAAAGCAAAAAAATAAAAAAAATGGGGATAATATTATTTGTGCAACTGAGAATTTGAGGTACATAAAAATAAAAATCCACCTGCCAATTAGTTTTCTTTTTTTTTGTGGGGGGAGGAGAGGGGGAATTAAAAAATAGCTATTAAAAGGCCAGCAGCATAATATATCTAGGTAGCCAAAGTGTATCTCCAATGATCCCCAGGAGCTACGGGTTGACTACACCCACTCTAAATTCTATTACAACCACATTTGGTTATGCACTTATGCCTATGTTTTAAAACTACAACATTTACTAAAAGATCATTCATTCACGGTGTCAAGATATTCTCAAAACAAGCAACGAAAAAAACTATGTCAATCAGCTCTCACAAGAATCTGGGCTAAGATGGCGCTGGAACTTGTCAGCAAACCTATTCCCACACGACCGCCGTTTTACACGATGAGTCTTGTAATAACTTGCTTCAAATTCTTTTCTGACCTACATTAATGACTTGCCGCAAGAAATTATTTAAATAAATAGTAAAAGGGTATGGTGTGACAGAATGTCAGTGTATACAGAGCTGAACAATTCTACCAGTTTGCAAATTATTAACATAAATACATTTCTCCCTAAATATTTTTAGTGTGATGCTCGAATCTTAGCCATTCTGTTCTTTGTATGTATATATTGCAACCTCTATGACAATTTGGGTCATTATGGAAAGTACATAGGCAGAATACAGATACATATGGATGAACTGTCACCTACTAGTTACACAAGTTTGACCGGTCTTCACTGCCATATAGTGAGCAACATGTACCTGCGATTCTGTGACTCGGGGATTGGTGCTGGTTTAAAGCTACAGGTCCACTGAATGGGCATTGCATCTTTACACACCCAATTCTTTGTGCCAAAAAAAAGGTTGTCATGTAACTTTAAGTTTTCCAATACACTGAATGTTGCTAATGTGTTAGTTTGACAAAAAGGCAAAGTTAAAATCACAAATTACCAAGCTTAAGGTAATTGAAGTATCTAGATTTTTATTTTTTTATGGGGATGGAGGTAGGGTTTGTGCGACCTTTGTGCTGCAAAAGCGGTTCTCATGGCACATGACCCCATTCCTACTATGTTGAATTAGTGTGCATTCATATATAATGTAGGGAAGAGAAATTAGCTACGATTCCTTAAAACACAGATTATCTGATAGTTTGTCAAATACTAACCACCTTGAGTGAATGAAATTAAATAAATGTATTATTTTTTTCTCTGTCGACGTCTGAGTATGATATTCCCATTATTTTCCTAAACTTTGGGATTTCTGAGTTCTTTCACACAAGGTACAAATTAAAAAAATCACTAGAAAGAAAACCAGCCCACTAATAAATATTGTGTTTCAGTTCATTCCAAATGAAACGCATGAAGCCTTGAGGAAATTGGGTTTTGAGTTTTTTTTCCATTTTTTTTTTCATTAAAGCAGCAACATATATATATATATATGCAGAACTATATTAGCTTTCAAATAGCAAACAATTCAGAGGAACAGGCTTTGGCAATTTGATATACGTCTTAAAACATCCAGGCTTTATTATTATTATTATTTTTAAATTAAACACATTTCATTTTCTATACTATTACTACACAGGGCGTAGTAGCACTTTCTTATGTCCTAAACCCACTTGCTGCTTCTTACCAGTTTGTAATAAACAGATAAGAAACAAAGTTAAAATAATTCCCTTGTTCCTACTGGCTCTGGGCTACACCGCTTTGAAGCCCTCAAAATGCCCAGTTAGGAAAGCATACATTTTACTTACAGTTCCATTCATCTAGACAGGTAAGTTACAATTGTCTCTTTTGTGTGAATTACAATTCACCCACCCAGGCGTTGTATCACCTGGTACCTAATATAATACCCATAAACTCACAAAAATGTAACTTATTAAACACAGCAAGTGACATTTCTACAGCCACCACTGGGCACAGGACAATCTAGTCTATGTGACACGTGAAATAAAAAAGAGGGGTTGCAATATTACAGGTGGGTAATCAGACACACAAAGAGGAGGCTGCCCAAAGATTACATGGATGCCAATTTAGATAGCAAGAAATAATGCTTCCCAAAGCAAAACTGGATTTTTGCAGGTTTTCTAGCAGCTTTTTTGTAACTATTTTATTTTTTTTTTGTTTCTTTATAATCCAGTAATGCACCTTGATCAAAGTATTATGTCCTTCCAGGATACACAGCTACCATACTGTCAAAATCTGCATACTGATGCCATGTTTACTAAAAGTTTTTGTGAAACTGCTATATGACCTAATTGTCACCAATGAGTAGGTGACAAGTCTTCTTCAGGTAAGTTATCAATGTGTTGGGTTAGCAAAATCGCTAGCAAATGTCTAATGTTATATTTGCAAGATTTATTGATCTGGCTGCACATTGATATTGGCCCTAAATTACAAAAGCCATACCTAGAGTTTATATCACTGGCCTACCACATAAAGCTATAAGTTAATATCTAGAAGTATGAGTAACATTATACTTATTGCTTTGCTTGTAGTCAGCATAACGTAAAGTGCCCCCTCGTTGCACATTTTATCACTTCCTAATTCTTAAAATGTTTGTTTTGGTTCAATTAGTCCCAGTTGTGCTGATGATAAGATTCTAACTAAATAAAAAAAATTAAATAAATAAAATTAAACAATTCTGGCAGGAATATGGTAGTGTGTTACCTATTTTTCTCCTACCATGTATGACATTTGAAACCGGACAGGGAGCCTGATGCAACAGCTATTTTAAAACAAATATTGTTTTAAGGGTTGGGAGTGTTCCTTAACTTAAAACGCACACAACTCCTCCCTCCCCCCCAATAACACTGCAATATTCTGATCACCTTTCAATGTAGTTTAATTTGCATTTCCCCACTATGTAAATATCATTCAGCAAGTAGTGGTCAGCTGTGAAACAGTAACATTGAACTGGATGATTTTTTTTTCCCAGGAGAGGGATTTTATTTGTTATGGATAGCAATGGTATTTTATTGCATTGTACAACAGCAGCATTAATTATTAGCCTGTTCCAATTAACAGTGTGTGAAGGGTCATATCAAACTACTTATTTTAGAAAAACATTGTTAAATGTGTTTTCAATATTGTAGCTTGCTTATGCAGAAAAAATATTCCCCATTAGATTGGATAGCAGAAATTTCAAGCAGAGTGGTGCAAAAGCAGAACCCAGCTGCTTTGGCACCATTGCACGAGGCTCCCAAAGAAAGAAAAACTGTAAAATTGTGAGGTATTGCTTGAATGGGAACCATTTTGTATCCAGTAAACCTGAGGTAAGCATACCATCTTTGCAGGTTGTGATCAGCCATTTTGTTTTATCAATTAACACACTAACAGAAAAAAAACCTGTACAAGGGCATTTCCAGTAAATCAAAAGTACATATCTCTTAACCATCTACTTCAGGATTGGAAATTTAAGCAGTAAAATAATATATTATAAAAATGTTTATAAAATAGCAGCACACTCAGTGAAACAATACAGCTAAGTACTGTTAATGTGAATAAGAATGAAACAAATCATAGCTCCTTAGCAGCGCAAAAACAAATTAAAAAAATAATACATATATAAAATCACATACTCTTTTTACCACTTTGTTGCTGAAACTTGGCAAAACACCGATCTTGAAATTGTTTTACAAAGTACAATGCTTATTTTCAAATTGTCTTTGCTTTTCTTTTTTAAAAAGCAAAGTTTTATCCAACCAACAGTTTAATTTGTCAACTGTTAAAAAAAATAAAAATAATAATAATAATAATAAAAAAAAGTTGCTAGACAAAAAAAAAACCCCAACTAAAAATGAGTTTTCACTGGATCAAATATTAGGATATAGGAAAAAAAATTCAAGTACATTGGTACACATCTGTGATGCAATGATGCATCTAGACCTAGAATTTAAGATGTCCAAATACAGTCCCCCCCACATGTTGGACTATATTTTCCATAACACACACAAGTATATATACATATGTATTATCCATAAGCGCGCACAGCATTATTGGATATGCAGTCCAAAACATCGGGGCACTGCAGTTAATACACACCTGTTCTAAAATCTCAATGTTTACCATTTTATCACCAGCCATTTCTTTACAAAAGGTTAAAATGATAAAATTGAATGATTCCCCCATTTTATTTGCCTATAAACTGGTAGTTACTTGGTGGCAACCAAAGGGGGTTTATATATTATATGTTTCAGGGTCCTTGATAATGTTAAAAAAACAAAAAACTAACAAAACAAAAAAACAACAATTCAAAGAAAAACAAAAATCCCACAAAAACTGTTTGTATATTGGTTATGAATCCGGAATGTTGTAAAAGCGGAATGTCACCCAAGGCAGATGTAAGAACATCCAGCAACACCATATAATTAACAATATACACTTGAAGGGGTGGTTCATTTAGATAAAAAAAAAAAAAAAAAAAAGCTATATATGTGATTTGCTCAGCATGTTTTTCATAAACCATTCCATTTATCCCTTAGGAACAATTTTCAAAGTGCTTTTTTCGAATGAAATGGTTTACAATAATGCTAACTGTAGACCACACGCAACACAAAAAATACTAATGGGCTAAGAGTAAACAGCCTCTCCGTATTTATTCTTGGGGTGGGAGGCTAACTCTTCATTAAATGTTTTTGACTGCACATTTAGGATTATACACTCTTTTTTTGTTAAGAGCCCATCCAACGTACAATCATTATTTTGGGTTGGTCCACAGTTTATTAAGCAGGATCGCCTAAAAACAGATACATATTTTTAAGTAAAATAGGGAATAAAATAAAATTAGATGGAGGATATGAGGGGTGGGGGTTAAATAAAAATTATGAAAAAAAATATCCTGCCTTAGGCTTGCAAAAATAAAGCAACATCTTTCTTCGGTAGCAGCTACCATAGACAGCAAGAGTAAACAGAACTAAAACAAGAGATCCATAAAGCACATCTCTCTAAATAAAAATGATAACAGATCCCAAATAATCGTCTCCACCCAAACATGGTTCGGTCACTTTAGGGATCTATCCTTACATTGCCCTCTAGAATTCATTGCTTTGCAATCTAAAAATGAAACCATAAAAACGCACACACACCCCATGTCCTTTCTGAAATCTAAGGAGGGTGTGCATGCAACTACATCATAAATGTAAAAAACGTATATACCTAAAGTTTGCTCCCACAAAACGTGGGTTTACAACGGTCTAGCTAGATTTTATGCTTGGGTAAGCACTTAATTTTAACAATATATAATAGAACAGCAATTATCAAATGTTGTGGGATTCCCTTCTAAAGGACATCACAGGCACCAAACACTTAATATTTCAGGTTTTTTTTTTTTTTTGTATTGAAAATAGCTTTAAATATTTCTTTTCTAAGTGGGAGCAGATATAAAAGGCTTTGTTCCAAAAATAGAGAACAAGAAAGATTCTTTTCGGTGTGCAACTCCTCACAGGTTGATGTCTCTCACGTCTGTGGGAGTGCTGGCCTGGTCCAGCTCATCCACTGTTTTGGATGTGTTCCCTTGCTGATTCTGCTGTCTGCTTTGTCTAAGGCTGCTCACCAACACAGATTCGATCTGTTCTTGACAAGCTTTAAGGCAATCCTGAAACACAAAAGAGAATAAATAAATAAAAATATACAAATTATCCACCAGAAAAAAAAAACAAGATTGAAAAAGAAAAAAAAAAAACATCAAAAAATATCAGAGATATCTGTAGATGTCTTAAACTTAATTTAAGGTACATTAGATTGTTTAGGAAGGAAACACTAACAATAGCTCATCCCTTTCAGTCTCCAATCATTGCGTAACTAATGGACGAATTGTATGTATGCTGAAATAACTGATGCTTTACTGAGAGCCTGCTAGAGTAAACTCTTCCTGCAAAATATTCTCACAGCTCCTAAGGAAAGAGCATTTATTTTTAGTTTCTAAATTGCATCACACACCTAACAAGCGAAATCAAAAATATTTAATCAAAGTTATATTACTCCCTACATGGATTGAAATTTTTCTTTAAAAAGCCAGAATGGAAAAAGTGTGCGCAGTTATGCAGACGATATAATAGGAGTTAAAATACAATAAAAAAATAAAATAAAATGGGAGTTCCATGTCCTGGATGGTCTACCAGAGTTGAAAAGTAAGTTCTGCTGTGGACTACTGTATCTCCAATTGTGCACAGTACCATAAATCATAGGCTCTTAACCCGTGGTACATGTACCCCAGTGGGTACGCGCACCACAAGCACAGAGTAAGCCGAAAACTGGCTGACTGGCAACCTTAGGGCCCACAGGAGGCAGATGGCTTTGCTCTAAGGCAGAGGAGGCACCTGCTTACCCAGACGGCAGGTTGCTACTCTACACGAATGTGTTGTATCTGGAGGGGGAATGAAGGCACGCTGAGAAGGAACGCTGATATCTGTGCTCTTCTAGCACTGTTCCCTCGCGCACCCTGTGGTGATGCTGGGGGTTATGATGTTACTCCGGCCCTGGCTTCACTAAACAACCTGTGAAGGAGCAGTGCTGTAAGAGCACAAAGACTACACAAGCCCCAAACTGGATCCCAGGGAAAGGGCCATTCCAAAAAGCAGGGAGGCTGGGTGAACTTAAATAAAAATAACAAATATAATAATAATAATAATAATAATTTGTGAGTGTGTGAGAGACTGTGAATGTTTCTGTCACTGAATGTATGTCTGTCTGTCAATGTGTATCATATCAGTGAGTATGTCTGTCAATGAATCTGTGTGTTTTAGTAAGTGTTTCTGTCAGTGAATATGTGGGGGTGTCAGTGTATGTCAAATCAGTGAGATTGTGTGTCAGTGTCCTCCGTGTAAATGTTTGTGTCTGTCAGTTTCCTGTGTCTAAATTTGTGCATCAGTGTCCACTGTGTGTAACTATTATGTGTGTATTATATTTTGAGACTTTATACTTTAGATTAATAGTTCATATACTCCCCTTTACATACACAATATTCATATTATGTCGTATTTATTTTAAAAATATGCTTTACTACCTTTAATAAGGCTTGTTCTACAATATAGGATTAACTTAAATATCAGTGTCTACACATTTCTTTTGGAATTCAAATCAACAGAAATTACTTTCTTGTGGAGGAGTACTTAGCATTTAATTTTTTTTCCACCTGGAAGGGTACTTTTCTTTAAAAGGTTGAGAAACACTGCTGTAAATGATACAGCAATGTACCTTTTCCATTTGTATTAGCAAATCTGTGGGTTCTAGCAATCAAATCAGATAACTAAAAAGTGAGTTGTGATGAGCTGATAACAGCTTTAGAAATAATTCAAGAAGGAATATTTCTGCAGCTCAGATATTTTTTAGCCTCATTAATCAAATTACTTTTTAGTGCAAATACCTTCATAACCAATCATAAGTAGGGTCTGTTTTTACATTTGTGTGGTGCTATACTCTACTGAAAAGTGGATGTTGTTGTTGTTGTTTCATATATATATATATATATATATATATATATATATATATATATATGTATATATGTTTTTTTTTGTCATTTTAATTCAATGGGATAATTTAAATCAACTAAAGGTGGCTTGGCAAAAATGTTTTTTTTTTTTTTTTTCAAACAGCCACACGGTCAGTAAATGGTCAGTAAACGGTCACAGCACCATCCCCGAGGTTACCTGCCTGCTTAAACATTTGAGATGTAATGCATCAAATTTCATGGTGCGAGATAAATAAATGAAATTCCAGAGATTCTTTCACATTATTTGCAGCTAGAGTGGATCGTGGGAACAATTCTGTGTGCAGTCCCCTCAGTCTGCAGGGCAGTTTAACAAAGATTAGGACAGATGAATTAAAATGCCTGAAGTTTGGTGGTTTCTCAGATCTGCTATTCAATAGGTTTAGTAAAAGCTTTGTAGATATTTGTATTTGTATGCATGCAAACATTATGTAACCCACTGATAAAACACCTTATGTTCACAAATTCTGATAATGTGACCCCAGTCTTTTTTTTATTATTTTTAATGTTTAAGAAGAATGGTCACATTTGTTTTTTAAATACTTCTAAACTAAGCTCTATAATACATAAAGACATATAGGTAACATAACATTTTTGTGTTTTGTTTAATATTTACGTTAACATAGCTATATAGTCACATTAACTACCTGAAGACACAACATGGGTAATTAATACAAAACAGAAAAAAAAAACTTTAGTATTAGGAATAGAAAGATTTCTTCCTCAGCCACCCATGGGCCCCTCCTAGCATTGTTAAGTATTAAATAACTCTTTATTCACTTACCCGATTCCAGCACAGTGGTCCCTCGGGACTGGGTTGTAGTCTACCTCCTTCGATGTAATCAGATTGTGGGATCAAATGTGCATGCGTGGCAAGCGCCACATGCGCACTAAGCCTTCTACATAGGAGATCACTGCCTCAATTCTTTCCTATGGGGTTTTATTCTGATGCTGGATACTCCTATGCAGAGCAGAACTCCCAGCATTGTTTCAAGAACTCTGTAAAACTCCAGGAAGCGCCTCTTGTAGACAATCACTAGATTCAGTTTTAGTACTACAGTGTAAAGATTGCAGTCTCTCTAAAACTGCAAAGTTTTACATTGCAGGACTCCTCCCTCACGCTCTTTGTAATGATGCCAGGGCCAAAGTGATGTCATATTCTGGCATTATTACACAGAGTGCGAGGGAGCAGAGATGAGCTACAGGCAGAGTACTGGTCCCTCACGTGCCACCTACAATGCCCCTGCATGTGGCTGGCCACCACCATCCTGCTTACTGTGGCCGGCTCCATGCTGCCTCAGCCGGCCGCCGCCATCCTCAGGGCGGCTGGCTCCAATATTCCCCACAGAGCTGGAAAATCTCAGCCGCCAGGGCGGAATTTTTAGTCGCTATGGCGACCTTGGGGCCTGGGATTTGTCAAGCACTGTCATATAGGTACAGAAAACTAAGGCAAAAATTACAGGCATTTTTGTGGAGACCATGCAGAAGCAGCTGATGGCTTCTTCCAGGACTCCCAAACAAAAACACTCCAGCTCAGTATAAAATATGGGAAGATTGCATCTAGATATTTAGAGATCCTGCAAGTGAAGGAGGCGTACTTGCACAGCATGAGCAGGTAGTGATTGCTCATGGTGCCAAAGTACACAGATGGCTAAAAAGGAAACTAAAAGTTCCCTTGTGATGTCAGTGACTACGGGTGGAACATGGTGCTGTAGGTAAAGTTACGTTTTCAGAGACAACTTCCTGGCAAAGTAAACATTACAATAAACAAATGGGTATGATGCGTGGAATGTCCATAAATTGCATTTATCCACACCACCTTTGCTGGAATGCTATTCCCAGTATGCATCTTAAAATTGGTGGTTTACTTTACCATTCAGTGTAACCCCACACCCTCCGCGTCACACTGATAAATAGTTAATCTATGTCATATGTGTGACTTTTGTAACTTCATTACTTCAATAACCTGCATATCTCCCTACCTAATATGTGACAAAACAGCGGAAAAAGCGCTTAGATCAATATCACAATGTGTGTGTGTATTCAAACACACTAAAGTAAATACATGTGTACTATAGTAGCAGCACCTACACCCAAGTGACACACAGAAATTAAATACCAAAAATTAATCCCGGGGAAGGCAGGTGAAATGTGTCACACAAGATATTATCGGGAGGCGGAGCTGAGTACCTGGAGTGGCTGTAACCTGGAAGGAACTGCTTCTGGTTGGTGTTTTTATATATTAGTCAAGGGTGAATGTGTATTAGTCAAGGATTGGGAAACACACTATCTTAAGTAAGCTTCTCTAATACTGTGTCTAATAAACATATACATTGTCTAATAAACATATACATTGGTATTGCATTTGGATAATATCCAAGTTGATGATGGGTGGCTGGTTCCCTCTCAAGTGGAGCCATTAATACCCAGAGCCTATTATTGACAGGGCTCAGGTACATGTGAGTTGGACCCCCAGATATACCACTTTTACTACTAAATATTCAAGGATTATTATGGGTTGTGCCTTTTGCAAACCATTATGACAAGGCATCTATTTGTTCCCTGTTTTTCCTTATTGGCTGCACATTGTGTTCTACTTTAGAATGTCCAGACAGACACTATTTTTTACATATTATGTACAGCACCAGTTGCTCACATATTCTTATCAACATTATTTATGGTGGTTCTCAGATTAGTCAATGTTAGGCTGTTGTATAACATCCTTTTATCTGGTCAGAAAGATGCAATTATTGAGAATTAGAAACACAAAATAGTCCTAGCAGAGTTTGCATATTCACTTTGATAAAGTTTTTTTTTTTTTTTTAAAGCATGACAAATTATTCCTGTGGTGAAGAGAAACTAACTTTGACGGCCTTAGTTTCCATTAAGCATTTCCTCTGGGAGCACAGGAAATCACAAGCATGAGCTGTGTGAATTCCAGGGGATGACCAAAATGTCTGAAGTTTGGTGCCAATTTTTAATTACCATGTGTACTGTCATCACTGCTTGCTGCTTAAAGTAACATTTTACATACAAAAAGATTAAGGGGTATTTTCTTCAGTTAAAATTTTTTTGTTGGAAACAAAGTATGAACCAACCGGATGTCAAAGATGCATTTCAACCACATATGTTAATGGGCGTGATAACTGTATCCATGAATTCAACTGTAGCACATACAGGCCCAGTTACTCATACCAAAAATACCATTCCACATTGACTTATTTCCTTGTCAAATACTAGTGGTTTTATAACCGTTTTTTTAATGTTTGTGGTTTAGTCCTGCAGTTTAAGCAAATAAATAAATAAATATGTGTGTGTGTGTAAGAGGTTATTCACACCCATCAGCTGTTAAGGTAGGTGTTAGGATTTAGATTTTTAATAAGCCAACAGTTTTAAAATCATTGTTTGTTCAAATAATTTGCTCTTATTTTCACTTTATACCATGAAAGGTGCTGCATGCCATCATCTATCCTTAAGGGGATGCTATAGTCACCAGGACCACCAGAGCAACTACAGCTTAATGAAGTGCTTCTGGTGTGTTTAGCATGTCCCCGCAACCTTTTAAAAAAAAAAAAAAAATTTAAACACTGCATAGGAACACCTCTAGTGGCAGTCACTGAGACAGCTCGGTTCTGCGTGGAGGCGCTGAACGTTCTCCATAGAGATGCATTAATTCAATGCATCTCTATTAGGAGATGCTGCTTGGTGCAGCATTTACATGCGCAATAGACTCCCAATGGTTTCCTAAAGTAAAGCATTAGATTCGCTGAGATTGTCAATTTTGATGATCTCAACCAAGGGCATGGAACCTAAACTGTGCTAATAGAACTATAGCTCTTTAAACCAAACTTAAAACTTAGTTATAGTCCTTTAAAGGAACAATATAGTGTTAGGAATACAAACATATATTCCTCACACTAAAGTGTTGGACTATCTATTTAGGTCCTGGCTGGTCTTGCCGTGACTGGCCCCGCCTCCATGGCTGAGACCATCAATCTTGACAATCTCAGTCAATCCAATGCTTTCACATAAGATAGCGTTGGGAGGCTATTGTGCATGTGCGGCAAAACGCTGCGCCTATCAGCATCTCCTCAGAGAGATGCACTGTATCAATGTATCTCTATGAGGAATGTTCAGTGTCTCCATCCAGAGCTTGCAGTCGCTGGATGTAGGAAGTACCTCTAGTCGTTCTCTGAGTAACTGCCACTAGTGGTCTTACTAGGCAGCAATGTAAACACTGCCTGTTTTCTCAGAAGGCAGTGTTTATATTGCTGAGCCTGCAGGGACAAGCTAAAGACAATACAACCACAACATTAAGCTGTAGTGGTTCTGGTAACTATAGTGTCCCTTTAACTTAATTCTGTGCATGAGAAATATAGCACATTACAGTACAATGTATAAACAGTAATCCTGGGACAAAGTTTTAAAAGCGGAGCAATCACCATGGAAACCACTGAAATGTTCCAGCTGACAAGTCAATGTGTAGACAGAATCTGTTACGTCACTATCACTACACGTTCAGCTCTCCCATTTTTAGTGTTTGTGGTTCTGGGAAAAGGGCCACTTGTTCAAGATATGAGAGAAGCACTGCACCTAAGAAATGCAGGTTGCTTTAGAAAACTGTGTGTGAAAATGATGTTTTCTTTTTCATTGCCATGTGACATGAACATAAATGATATAAATATCATAATTAGCTTGAATTCATTAGATTTTACCCTTGGAAGCTAGATCCATCACCAGACCTATCCCCTGATAGTAAATAAATAACAATATTTTTTTAAATTAAGTGAATTATATTAGTGCTTCTTTAAATGTCTGTTAGGTCTCCTTGTTAAATACTGATTTTAGAATTCCCCCATCACTTTAATGAAATTCAAGATAATATGGGCATTTAGCGAGTGTCATCCCACCCACTCTTTTTTTTCAAAGCATAAAGGAATTTTTGTTCCCTTAACAGCAACTCTGCATGTACAGCTGCTTATAGAGATGGATGGAGACAGAAAGGAAATGAGGGGGAGATAACACACCCTGCATCAGCTACAAAATGCAGTTATTTAACTTAAAGCGGAATTGGATAGGGGATTCAAGAATGTCTGTGACTGACCTGCAGCTGTCTCCAGTAAGAATTAAAATCTGTGCCTAACTTCATGGTTTTTAGATTAGGAATGGGCATACTAAACAGATCGATTGATGTATATCCTACATCAAATCCTGTTTCTATAGCGAATGCCTTGACTCTCAAATGTCCACATTTCAAATCACAAGGAAACTATGTAATAATGCATTTTCCCACTCATGCAAAATTTGATTTTAGAGTCACACCTAGTTTTAGAGCTGAAAGTTGAAATTTGTGACTATTACAGTTGAATAAGTAGATATCACTCAGAGACTTCACTACTCAACTAACTAAAAATGTCTTATTAGGTCCATAATAACCTCTTATCTCAGGTTTTGGGAGATTCTGCAATGGTAAAAATTCAAACTGTGGCATGCTATGACAGTTTAAAATGAATACCAAACCCAAAACTGCAAATTTGCTATTAACATTTAATATATTTTTGGTGGTTTTCACCCACACATTTAATTTTGCTGTGGATGGCAAATGAAGTGGAAAGTATGAACTCTGTTAAAGTAAATCTGAGCGAGTTAAGACAGAATTATCAGATCCATTTGCAAATAAACAAGGTTATTAGCCAAGCTTTTCCAAGGAACAGTAGAAAACGTGTGGTAAAACATACATCTTCCCACTCTGAGGCTTATTAGTGGAAACAAAATGATTCTTTATGAGAATCTACATTTTGTGATGTCAACATACATGTCTTCCAAAGCAAAGGAAATCCTTCAACAGGACTGTATGCATAAAAGTTATGATGGCGAAATCACAAATGCAGAGCCAAAATTAGTTTGAACAATTCAACAAATACAGCGTACACATTGCTTGTATTAAATTCTGCTGTTTCAAGCACAAACTCTTTAAGCCAGGGATAGTCAACCTTTGGCAAGCCAGATGTTGTGGACTACATCTCCCATAATCCTCTTCTAGCCATAATGCTGGCAAAACATCGAGGGAGATGTACTCCACATCTGGAGAGCCAAAGGTCGCCTATCTCTCTGCTTTAAACCAGGGCTCCACAAATCCCAGGCGCCAGGTTGTTGTGGCGACTAGGATTTTTGTCCTGGTGTCTGGGATTTGCTGGCCCATTCAGTCTCTGAGGCGGCCGGCAGGCTCATAAATAGCATGGGCGTGCATGTGGGTGATCATTGGGCCGGCTGGCCAGCTCAGTAAGAGCGTGGGCGTGTCCACAAGCTCCTGCAGGTTTGAGGCCAACAGGCAGGTGCGTGAGGGAGTTGTAACAACCTCCCTGCTCTGCTCCCTCGCGTGCTCTACAGTGATGCCGGGAGCCAGAATATGACGTCATTCAGGCCCCGGCTTCACTAAACAGCACTCTATGGAGCAGTGCAGGGAGATGACTGAAGCCCCGCTGGACCACAGGGAAAGCTGAACCCAGATAGGGAGGCTGGGTGGTCACATAAATGTGTGTGATTATTGCAGTGACAGTGTGTGTGTGTGTCAGTGAGTGAGTGAGTGTGTGCGTCAGTAAGTGAGTTTGTGTGAGTGTGTGCATCAGTGAATGAGTGTGTTTAGATGACTAGTCCCCCTCCAATCACATGGGAAAGGGGTTTTTACTCACCTTTTTCTCCCACTGTACTGATCTCGCCGCAGCTGGCCCTGCATCTATGACTGCTATTATCAATCTTGATGATCTCAGCCAATCCAATGCTTTCCCAAAGGAAAGCATTGGGAGGCTATTGCGCATGTGTGGCAAAACGCCATACTGTGCCAATAAGCGTCTCCCCATAGAGATGCATTGATGCAGGGCGTGGAGACGCTATACGTAGGTACTGTGCAGCACTCACCCAGGATGCACTCCAGAGGCCGTCTGAGTGACTGTCACTAGAAGTGTTGCAAGGCAGCAATGTAAATACTGCTGTTTCTCTGAAAAGGCAGGGTTTACATTGAAAAGTGTGCATGGACAGATTATAGACACGAGAATAACTACTTTAAGCTGTAGTGGTTCTGTTGACTGTAGTGTCCCTTTAAAATTTTTATTTTTGACATTGGAAAACCTGGCTCCTAACTGTTTTTGCTGGCTCCTAGATTCCAAGCAAATTTGTCAAACTCTGCTTTAAAGAATTAATCCCTTTAAATATTTTGACTGCAGAACTATGCGCACTATGAAAAAACCAAAACCAAATAATCTTGCAATGGGCATTAGTCATAAAAAATATTAGAAAAATTAAATAAAATAATCATCTAAAAACAAAAACTTGCGGTACCAGATATATAAATGCAAAATAAATAGGCACACACAAAAAGATGTGTACTGGAGCTCATTAGATGGGATCCTTACTTCCTTTGCAAGCTGGCTCGCTCACAGAGCTGCACCCTTCTCTAGATTTATGAATGGGCTGACGGAACTCCATCATTAGACTTCAGTGTAACTGCATTACCCCATTGTTACCACACACGCACAACACTCACTGGGGGACAAAAAAATGAATGAACCAGGAGCAGCTGCCAAATTCAAGCAAAGACAACTTAGAAACTATCTCATTATTCCTTTCTCTCCAGGCTATTCTGTCTGCAGTTTCCTTGCATACAAAATACGGCCTGATACAAACGAAGCGGCAGTAGATTTGTAAAAAATGGAGGGTATACATATCTTCATAGAAAACCAGTAGACACTGCAATACCTTTTCATTTAAATATTTAAATGGAGCAGATGGGTTAATGAGAGCGAATGTGCATACTTAATTTGAGCTATATTCCCTACACTGTCTTTTATAGGAAGGGTAATAAACCCGTAACCCAGAAATACTGGTTTTCTCCCACCCACCTCCCTTATATAACTGCCATTTCTTTATACTTTACTAGCGAGTCTCTCACCACACTAAAATTTCGGAGTATTTCATATATATTCTGTGCATGAGAATATAGCACATTACAATGTATAAACAGTAATCCTGGGATAAAGTTCTAAAAGTGAAGCACAGTGTGCAGCACAGCCCCAGGAAGCAGCTCTAGTAGTCATCTGAGTAGTGCCCACTAGCAGTGTTCCTAGGTTGTAATGTAAACACTGCCTTGTCTATAGTTGTTCTGGTGACTATAGTGTCCCTTTAAGCATAGCTCTCAAAAACCAAGGATATGGAGACTCACACATAAAGTCATATGCAAATGTATTAGGCTGGCACTTATCCTTAAGTGTGTTTATTGCTACATGTCACCAGTTATGCATGTTGCATTACTGGTATATCTTCACTTAAAAGGACAATGTAGGGGGCGGGGCCTGACCGGGGAGCTGAGCAGACACGCTTTCTGTGAGATCCCGAGCCTGGGCCCGATTTTCAGCGGAAAACAGAGGGAAACTAACCCAAATTGGTCCTTCAGCCCACCGCAACTGGCACTGTGAAAGCAGGGGTAGAGAAGGACACCTCAGACGCCTACAAACCCGCTGGTGGTCCGGGCCGGGAACTTGGGGCCTACAACGCATGGTGGTGGGGAGAGACGGCCGCTCTCCCGACTCACCAAACCAAGCGGCACCCGAAGCATCGGGCCTCCCTACCCCCCCAGGACCGGTGGGGGTTATCCTGGTCCATAAAAGCATTTACCTTAAGCCTAAATTGACTGCAATTGTTGAAGACAGCCAAAAGCACGATAAAAGTCAAACGGACACACATAAAATGGCGACCTCGGGCCAAACTGCAGAGCATGCTTCCACCCACGAGCGTCTAGATGCACTGCTCAGCCGGTTCTGGGAGAAGCTGGAAAGATGGATGGCACATCAAACCTTTAAACACCAAGAAGAGGTGAGGCAGACCCAGGCTGTGAGGCGGAGCAGGCAGACCCTGGGAAAAGCCGTCGCGCACCGACGGGCGGAACACCCATCCAGGCAGGGGAACATTAGGAGGCTCCCTCCTATCCACGACCACATCGTAGGAGAGCTGCCCGCCGCTGGCTGGACAAACAGGGCCCTCCACAGCGCCCATCATGGGAAAGACCCGGCCCCGAGAGGCAACCGAGTCTGTGGCCACATGGTGCCAAGCCCACATGATGCCGGGAATAAGGGAGAAGCCCCCCGCCGCAACCACCTCCACACCTCGCTGACCCACCTGAAAACGCTGCCGGAACTCCCGCCCAGAGGGAGCGTGAGCGGCCTACACTTACCCAGTCGCACAAACAGAGCCACCAGAACGGGCATAGGGTGAGGCAACCCGGACTCATGCAGGCCGCAGCGCGCAACCAACAACACAGCCCACAACGCAGAGACTAAACTATTAACCAACCGGAGACACAAAGAACTATAGACTCTAATGCATGCCACCTACCATGGTAATCAGACCCAGCCATAAGCAACACATACTTTATCCCTACCAAGGGAGTACACTCACCCGACACAGCTGGTTGAACGCAGGCACCACACATGAGACCAACACTACCCTTGCCATCTGCATGGCGGTCATAACAGCTTACCACCACACACATATATCGACACACCAGCCTGACCCCGAGAATGTCCATCACAGCAGACCCGGATAGTACAGCTCTATCCTCACAAACCACTATAGTGCCGCAGCATGCTTCCACACTATACCACACACCTGTGTTACTTTCATTGTCATGCAATGTCTCAATCCATTCTTGCTTGTGACTGTGATTTTTATCAATATGCAGCAGTTAAATAATCATAACGCAAAATAATTATAACGCAATAGCTTGTTATAAACTACCCTAATGATTGGCAAAAGCACACCAGCTGACTCATGGTTTAACCTACTCGGTATTATACTGTTTTAGTTCATGCACTGTTAAAGTAGCATGTTACATACTGGATCTTATAATCCATAGCCTGAATTTCCATGCTACAGTTTAAACTTAAGAAATAAGGCATCGTTACCCTGGAAATGATACGTAATTTTACTGTATGAAGTATCAACCTTCCATTGTAAACCACTCGTATATTTCCCCGCTTTCTCTTATGTACCCCACCTTATGCCTACAATAAAAACAGATTGACAAAAAAATTAAAACATTTTTGAGCAGTTTAACACTAAAAAGGGGTCCTTGGCCCCTACTAGAGCTGTGGCTAAGACAGACATTACACACTTCCTTTTTGTCATACCGATTCATACCACAAATGGGAGCTGTGATAGGCTGAAAGCGGTCAGCTGACACAGTCAAAAAATTGCAGCTGCTCATAACTGCTCAGGCAAATGTTTCCTTATTAGCCAAAACAGCACAGAGAAGATGGGCTGCTGGGGACTCTTGCTTAGCATTAAAACATTAAAAATGGATTCATGCTTAATGGAAAGATGGTCCAGGGAACTACAAACACTATAACAACTTAAATTAGATGAAGCATTTACATTGCCTTTAAAATCAAAATATTAATGTTTAGCAGTACAAATAAAAAACATTTAACTAGTTGACTTTTTCAAGCTTCTTCTTTTCAATAATATGTTCTTGCTGGCAGAACGAAGGTCATTGCACCATCCTATTAAGTGGTCAGAAAAAAAAGTGAGCTCTTCAATTCGTGTCCGTTTTGTTCTATAATACTGCTAATGTTCCAGTAATATGGATCACTATGCTTAATAACGTGGTAAATGATATTAGCATTGTTCATCACTTCCTCTCAGATAAGCTGAGCAACGCATTTCACATTTCTTCATAATGCCTCACTGCAAGATATCCCCCACTGAAACACTTGTAATTTTTGTAGTGATTGAGTTAAGGCTACATTGGGGGTGGGGGGGTTGAGGGCCAGGGAATAATTGTCTTGAAATATCCACAGCTGACTTTATTTAAAAGTCCTATGAGTCAGTAACACAGAATGTTGCTATGTTCCAATAAAAAAAGAGGCCATCCGTGGAACATAAATACTTTTTTGGACAGAACTTTCAGTGTGATGCTTAAAGATGCTATATTGTATGAGACACGGGGAGGCACATACTGCAGGCTAGCCATGGAATCTGAGAAAAGGGGGAAAAAAAAAAACCTTGAACATTAACTTACAGCCAAAGAGTTAACGGTTTTGGAGATACTGCTGATTTTAACCAATATTAACCCATTTGAAATGAATCCATGAGAGACACTGACCCAACCCATTAATGAATCACCTTACATAAACATGTAAAACATGTACCCTGGCATGCTAAATATGAGCGGTAAGAATTTCCAGGAGTTGATGATGTCTCTAAAATTGGGCAACCAAATGTGTCTTAATCATAGACCAAAATATATAATAGACAATGGCACCTTGCACTTAAAGAAACACTACTGTCTTTTAAATTTTAGTAGAGTTACCTCCAAATAAAGCATGTATGTATTTTCTTCGGTGGTATATGAAAAACAGCTCGCAATTGTGCTTGCATTGAGAAGCCTCTGTGCTGGAGCTGCAAGTGCGCGCATGCGGTGAAGTGTAATACAGTGCACCTGCCACTTACATTAGCTCTGCTGAGCAAACAGAAGTGGAAGAAAACCTTCCTGGCTGGATTCTGCCCCCAGTCACACTACTAAAATCATCACTTTTTTAAACTGTGAAAATATGACAGACCCCAGGCACATAAAGCACTTTAAGGTGAAGTGCTTTATGTGTCTAGTGTTCCTTTATGATATATCCTGCAGAGTGACTCTTTCAGACATTTTGTTTTCTGTTATAGTGGAAATATAGTTAATCTACCCCAGTTGTAGTGGTTTTGGTACTAGAACTCTATTTTTTTCCTCAATCAGTTTAACAAAACTACCCCAGTTGTAGTGGTTTTTGTACTACAACTCATGCTCAATCATCAAATGTATTTTCCTCATTATCCATTCTTGTACAAAGAAAGCCCACTGGGGGTACAGGTTTATATGTGCCTTTAAAACTACTATCTCCCTTTGTTGTGCCAAAAGTGCTGTGATGATTTACATGAGCAAGGAAAATAATAAGAAGGTATTAAGAATATTAAAAAGTTGGTAAATACGTTTTTCTTTCCTTATTATTATTATTGTTCTATTATTTATTTAGCACTAGCAAATTCCATAGCGCTGTACAATGGGATATGATGTTAATTTATGCACATTTACAAGTTGTGGTGCTATTACTAACTCCACAATGGGAACCAGCCATTTTTTGTTGCACCTTTGCATTTAGATTCATTCTGATGCCTTCTGTTAGAAATTAAACTGACTTCTATATTGTAATAATCTCATAACAAAAGCACAAGCACACCCTGTCTTACATATAACATCAGCCAAATATGCCCCAAGCTAGTTAACATACTCTGAAGTTGTCAAATGGGTTTATGCCCATGCTCACAAACACATCAGTCAATAAATGCCTTAAAGTGGCATATCTATATGTTACACGTTGAAGGTCTTGATCAAAGTCAATAGCTTGATGATGAAGAGCCACATTTGCCAGTCTCTGCTATGCCATGGAAGTTTACCTCAAATGAACTGTGCTTTCTTGACAATCTTATGACATATACAGTATTCAAAATGGAATGCGAACATTTTGCCAATTAAATATTCAGCTAGCTCCAAGAATGATTAGAATTTAACATCTTGTGGAGCTCTGTGCAGTGATAAGATAAAAATATCATTTGATTTTCTCTTTTATTTTACCAGAGTTTTCTATTAATTTAATTTACTCCCATGGTGTGCTACTCATCGGTGAAGACATAACTGACTTATCTGCTAATTTCACAAGGAAATTATATAAGACGCCAACCTCGTGCTTAATTCAATGTGTTTCACATACTTTACATGATTTTATAATAGGACAAAACTGGATTTGAACATTACAGCATAGAGCAAAGAGAATGTCAACAATGTCAATTACAATTACAATGTCAGTCAGCATAATTTGTGTCAAATATTGCTTATTGCCAACAAAACAAATCTACATATTTTCCTTCCACAATTTGTAGAAAGTCAATTTGTGTTAACAATGCTATAATGTTTTTTACACTATGCACAAGGGATATATATATATATATATATATATATATATATTTATATTCACAGACATATTTGCATGTTGATGGATAAATTCTGCAAGCCAGTTCACATACCACAAATACCATAACCTAGACTGACTGTTTAGTGAATAACTCCCAAACAGATCTTATTTATGTAACAATAACAGTGCTGGGGTGAACAATAGGGTAAATATTAAAGCATGAGGTATTAAGAGTGCTGCTGTGACAACAAAAAAAAAAGTTATCTCTCACAATCTAACTTGCTAAACATCCAGATAACATTCCTGAAAGAGTGATTATCTCCTTTACAGGATGGTTACTGGAAGCACTTGCTCAACAAACAAACAGAGTGGTATAATTTAAAGAGAAAGAACAGGTTTGCATTGTAAATACACTGCAGCAAACAGGACTTAGTGCTGCAAAGATCTATCAGAAAGGAAATGTGATTACAAGGAAGTCCTTTAAAGACAGCAGTGTGTGTATATTGCACCATAACCATTCCTTTGTTAAATTAAGGCATCTATAGTTCCAGGAGGTAGAATATGGACCTCCACTTTCGATCCAATCTAGCTTTCAGAATCTATTATGTAGCAATCACAGAACAATTCGTATGATTCACTAAAACAGATTTGCAGCAACATAAAAGTTATACATTTTGAAAGGATTGCCCTACATGGTCAGTTTTTGCTAGAGTTAGGTTGTTAAGTCAGCTGTTCACTCTCCCACCGGCTCTCAGGAAAGGTAATAGAGGCAGGGGAATGGCTCCTGGTGAACTCCAGGTAAGAATTCAAAACATTGAAAAACAACTTCAGGCACCATTACCACTACAGCGAGCTTGGAGTGTTAATTTAAACAATGTGTTGAGAGCACAGCCACAGTATTCAAATATTTTGGAATATGAAAGCTCTCCAGATTACACCTTCTATTATTTGGACTAGTTGATGGAAACAGCTGTCTGAATGTGTGACATTGTAAGATGATGAAACTATTCCTATCAACAATGGATTTTAAACAAATCAGCCAACTCATCCCATGTCAAAATGTCACTTGACCATTTTGACTAGGTTGTGATTACTTTACAGAGTATGTGTACCAATATGACAATTATGAAAATGTTTTTAAACCCAGCAGCATTCTCTAGAATCTTCAATTACTTCACTGGCACGTGAAAACCAGTATCACTATCCCTTTAATTAATTATAATTTCTCAGGAAATTTTGCCCATGGACACAATTTGTCAATGTGCTGTGCAGTCGTCTGGCATTCAAGGGGTTAACCCCACCCCCACTAAGGATAGCAACACAGTCCAGTGACACAGCTGCAAATACAATATGTGGGGGATGTATTTAGGGTGAATTCCAATGTTTTTATAGACATGCTTATGTGTTAACAATATCTTTGGAAAAATACTAGGTAACACTGAAATTAAATAGCAATTTTGAAATTTACCATGGGAAAGAAATGAATAGTATACTCACCACATCTGTGTTAGTGATCTTGGCCAAATGTTCTGTGAGATTATCACCAGACAGCGAGCTTTCTCCATCGTCCAACTGCAAGCCACAGATTGCTGCTCCTACACTTCCCGTAGCAATCATTGATGGTGGATACATGGCAAAGTTAAAGTCTGCAAGAACAGGAAGGAGGTTAGAAAATAAAAAAGTAAAACGTCAAGACATGTCATTTTTTCTACAGTGCTCTAGCTGATGTTGGATCACAGCAAGCTCTGTGAGACAACTGTGAAAACAGCCACAAAGCCACCACAGTTCTGCATGTTATTAATTTAATTCACAAGGCATTACAACATTTGAGAGGTGACAATTTTCTGAAAGCAATCGTGGTATTTACCAGAATGCTAACACACCAACCATGAAAGATATTATCTGATGCCACTGTATAGCTGTTAGTAAACTGATATTGTATGTTTCTTCCATATGTATTTATTAGACTTGTCTTGCTGTTACAACGGAAATAAGGTAAATTGACTCCTAATACGGCAGCGGCATGCTCATTCTCCTACAAATAAAATGTGCAGCATCCCACAATATTTAGTTTCCAGTAGTGTACTGGATGCATTGTAGAATTTGGGGATGTGGTGAATGTGCTTCTAGATTCAGCATCTACTGCATTATTGATAGAGGATGAGACAATCTTTATTTGCTATGATAGATGCTTCTACATAGTGTATAATACAGATTATACATATATCTATTTGGAAGTAAATCTGATGCCAATGTGAGTGAGAGCATGTGTTATATTTTTTTTATTTAGCTAAATGGAGCACTCCATAGGGTAAAAAAGCCAACCTTTATATATATATATATAGTTAATGCAATGTTAAACACAAATACACACCCAGAATTCCTTGCAGTAGTGAGAGCACTGTTAAAGTAAGATTGCTGTGGTAAAAGCAAGTCTTATGGCTTGCCTGGTGTGTGTATTTGTGTTTAACATTGCATTAACTACCACTTATTTCAGGTGGAAGGGGTTTTCATCCACACTTTTTCATATATACATAACTTGGGAGGTATGAAAAAAGTAGACTATGTTAGCTGCAGTACTAGTCTATTGTAAGCTCTGTACTTTCCCATCTGTCCAATCCATTGTCCAAATAGAAGCTTCTCACTTAGAATCCTTGTGGACAAATCTAGCATGCATGTGACTGGACAGTTATACAAAATAGTACAGCTCATCCAGTAGTATATGAACGACCCTCCCCCACTCGCTTTGAACTATAGTGGTAGTTTGTACAAATGCTGATTTATTTATTTTTATAAAATAAGCCTGTTCTTCAGCAAGCTGAAGAGCTTTCAGTCTCTGGGAGTGTTTATTTAAGTAAAATAAAATTCATTATTGCATTGGAATAGTATAAACTTATATTTTTCAGTTAAGCTCCATTAGAACACATAGCTCTTGTTGTACATAAAACAGATATTTATTTTTGGAGAAATCAATTTAAACTATTTACTACAAAGCATTTGTCTGCAAAGTGGGTATGACACAGAAAAACTGTAGCAGTTTACATATGTCCCATTTTCCATATGTAATTTATGCACTCACTGGAATTCTCATCTTTAAAAGCCGAATAAAGAGTCATAGAACCCCTGCCAGCAGACTCTGCTGTAGGTCTCACCCCACGTGTGGTCACATGAGAGCACTGCAATGCCCAATAACCTTGTTAGCTCACTTAATGTCATTCGTAATGCAAATTAGACAGCTTGCAAATGGCCAGAGGCCCAGAGTGACTAGAGATCATGATCCAAAAAAGTCTTGCATTACTTCTTGCACTCCTGTATCTTAGCCACCATAACAAGCTCCATAAACTTGGCTATCAAACACCGCACATGCCTAGTCTTTTGTTGGGCAACAGACTGCAATTTGTATCACTAGATCCTATTTTTAGCACATTAATTAACTACTGGAACTGATTGAAGCAAGTGTGCCTGAGTGGGGAGCGTTGACCCATTGTACAGAGTCATCACCTCAATTCCAGCTATAGAAAATAATGTCAGTGACCTCTGTTCTGATATGAATTCAACCTGACGTGCCCACAAAGGGACAGGAGGCGTGCACCAATTCAGTGCATGTGATATTTTTTTTTTCCACAACGGCCAAGGCCCTATTTATTAGGAAAGTGGAAGGAGGGAGGAGGAGGAGGAGGAAGCCACACTGTGAAAGGCCACCTAGGAGTCTGAATAGACAGAGAAGAACAAGAGGGCTCGAAAAGATGGAGATTACCATATATCCATATTCAATAAGAGCAATAGCTGCTTAACATAAAGAAGTGTAAAGGTTATGTACTCGCCTATGGAAAAAACTACTCTGGTCAGCCAATCTCTTTACAAGGATTAAAGAATGCAATCGCTTTGGACTTTCCCCAAAATATTCTGAACATTTCACTGTGAGGTAAACTCGTTTACATTGGTATAGGTGCAGGCTTGTCCAGCGCTGCAGAAAGGTTTAACCTGGTGGCTGTGATCAGTTGAAAGAATCAGCTAGGCGCACATTGAGAAAAATGTGACACTAGACTACATTAAGTCATATAAGCGTGGCATTGACTGAGTAAATGTACTGCACTGGACTTTGTACGACATGATACAGCTCATCTTATTTCTCTCATTGGGTGTACAGTGAACATTAGCTGATGCCCGAACCTATCATCGGCTACCAGGCTAAACCGTACTCAAACTGCAGTGCAGAGAGAATGGAAGCAGGAGTATCCACTTTGGGGTTCAACTGTTGCAAAATAGTTTAACACCTGATGGTGAGAGAGGCCCTGGACACTCCTGCTCCCATAATAACTCCAGTGCAGGGCTAGCTTATTGGCTGAGGGCATTAACTGATCTGTCTCAGCCAATGAGCTAAGCACGGAACTGCTGGGCGTAGCTCAGGCAGAGAGTCTCTAGCTCGATGACAGCAGAGAAGAGCAGCCATCTGAAACTTACAATGAGCGGATGCATGGCACCCTAGCCACTACAGCTCATAACCACTATGGTGGTTATGGTGCTTGGAGTGTTCCTTTAAGTTGTTATGGGCTGGGAGGTTTCCTTAAAGGAACACTATAGGGTCAGGAACACAAACATGTATTCCTGACCCTATAGTGTTAAAACCACCAATTATCCCCCAGGCCCCCTCTTGCCTCCCTAAATATAGTAAAGTCTTACTTGTATTCAAGCCTGAAGCTGCTGGCGTTGTCCCTGTTTCCTTTTGAACTGCCCACTGTCTGCTGACATCATCATAAGTGGTAGCCTGATCCAATCACAATGCTTCCCCATAGGAGACTAACAAAGAGGGAGATCAGGGGCAGAGCAAACACAATTCAAACACAGCCCTGGCCAATCAGCATCTCCTCATAGAGATGAATTGAATCAATTAATCTCTATGAGGAAAGTTCAGTGTTTGGATGCATTTTAGGCAGCCATGACCCAGGAAGGATCTCTAACAACTATCTAAGGAGTGTCCAGTGAAGTTATCACTAGGCTGTAATGTAAACACTGCATTTTCTCTGAAACAAGTAGTGTTTACAGCAAAAAGCCTGAAGGTAATGACTCTACCCACCAGAACAAATTCAATTAGCTGTAGTTGTTCTGGTGACTATAGTGTCCCTTTAATCAGAGGTTTTTTTTTGCATGCTACTGTATAAAAATATCTTTTATTTGCATTTAAGAAAAAAAAAAAAATCGATAACTAACAAGGCATAACCAACTATAACAGGTTATACGGAGTACATTAGATTAATTCAGTCAATGTCCTTCTGATGTATAAATTAGATTAGGCCAATACACACCCTTCACAATTCAATAAATTAAACATTACTCAGACTGGTACTACTGTCACCATAGACCTGTATGGAAATACAGAACCTATTTTTTAATACATTACTACTGCAAGATATCACTGAACATGAGTAATTGCAGTTTCTGATTTTAGTCAGCAAACTGACTCATTTAAAGAGCAACTAAACATTATAAATAGATTCTGCTTCTTTCATAAGTGCAAATATTTTTTAAGCCCAGGGAAGTTTCAGAAAACTGTTTTTAAGTTACAGTCAACAAATCTATCACAGGTTACCTTTGCTTCAGCACTGAAAATACATGTGATAGGGCATCACTTCTTTACATTGAGCTACCTGATGTATAGATATAACATACATTATATTTTTTTTATACTGGTTAAGATTTTAAATAATAAATATAGCCATTGGCATTCAAATACCATGACTAAAGAGGATGCACATGTCTCGGTGCTTCCAGTTATGAAGGTTGCATTCTATGCTGATATGATGAATCCAAAGAATCAAAAATTTAAGCATATGTTCTTAGTGTATGCAAAAATACTTAGACAAACAAACCTATCCTACAGTTCCTTGAATAAAAAAACAAACAAAAAAAAAATTTAAGAAATACATTTACAAGGCATGAATATAAACTTAAGAGCAAGAATGCTTCTCGCAATGCAATGGCAACAACCCACAAGAGAACTTCTAATTGCTGTGGAGCATGAAACGGCATTGGAATGTTCTAGAACACTAGAATGTCCAAAGTGCTCTGCCTTGGTCTTCTATCTGCTGTGGCACCAGAACTGCTTTAATTCTCTGTAAACTGAATTACAAGAAACAAGCATCACAGTTGGTTAAGAAAATGTCAACAACTCTCTTCTAGATATTTGAACTCGATCAGGGCTGTACATTGATATCTTTAAGAAAACCCACGGTCCTTTTTGGACACAATCCTTAATTCATGAAGTACTAGCAATCACTGAGTGACATGGTTTAAACACAGTGGTCTCACATGATCACATGATAAACACCAAATCTCAGAGGAGCATATTCCACTCAATATACCGGTATGTAGACATACTTTTGCAGTAAAACCCAATTTTTACCCTGCCAAAGATGACATTTAAAAGAAGTCAACAGCAAGGTAACCATACTGACACAAATTACAAACTATATGGAGAAGAAAATATGGAAGCAGCTCTGAAAAGAGTTAATATTAACAGTACACAAACACCATTCAGTAAAACTCCATCAGGATCCAAATTCCATCGACCAACGCAATTAATTCCAAATTGCAGTTTTACAGGCCCTAGCAATTTCTAACTAAACTAGTACTTGATTAATATTAGCCATTAGATGATGTTGTCAGGTAGATTTCCCTCAACCCCCAAAACAAGAATTTATATATATATTTGCTTTTTTAAAAAGAGAACCAAATCTTAACTTCCTCAATTCTCTTTAAACCCATTGGAGAACTGCTCCACCTAGTGAAACTTTCATTCAGTTATAGTAAAAGCAAGATTTCTTATACATTTGGGTTTTTATTAGCGGCTATTTCACTTGAACCCCGGCTTGACAAATCCCAGACGCCAGCTCGCCATGGTGACTAGGAATTTTGTCGTAGAGCTTAGGTGTTTGTAAGCCTGTTCAGCACTGGCCACCTTAGGGCCCCCAGAGGCGGTCGGCTGTGAGAAACTGTAATATTCAAGTCTTCTTTCTGTGCTCACTTGGGCGCCCTTCTGTGATGCTGGGAGCCAGAATATGAGGTCACTACGGACCCAGCATCACTAAACGGCTGCAAGGGAGCAGAGCAAGAGCTTGAAGATTACAGGATCATAGCAGCACCACTGGAACCAAGGGAAAGGATCCACTCCAGCTCCCCCAAGGGAAGGGAGGCTGGGTGGACGTAAATTAAAATAAAATAATTCTTTGTGAGTGTGTGTCTCTGTGAGTATTGGTACTTTAATTCTAAAAATACAAGACATGTCCATGGCCTCAAAAAGCCAAGTGGAAAAAACTGACACTGCATAAAACATTTGGTGTGTCACATCAGAATATATTCATTATCTGCATAAGGTATATGCCCAATATGTTTGCTTCTAGTCTTCTTTGTGTAAATGTAAAGGAACAATATAGGGTCATGAATACAAACATGTTTTCTTAAACTAACTATTTAGGCGACAGGCTACCATCTGATCAGATGGGAAAAGTAGATGCTGCGGCTGGGCTAACCTCCATGGCTAAGTTCAAACATTTTGATGTTCTCAGCCAATCCAATGCTTTCCCAAAGGAAAGCATTGGGATGCTAATGCACAGGCACGGCAAAAAGTAAAACTGAAAAAAAGTTGTTTTTTGAAAAGGCAATGTTTACATTTAAAAAGCATGCAGAGATAGGCTATATACACCAGAAACACTACATTAAGCTATAGTGGTCTGGTGACTATAGTGTCCCTTTAAGATCTGTTATTTTTGTCATTGAAACTAAAGCTTTTTAAGTTTAGAGGGAAAAAAGGGCTCCTAACTTTTTTTAGCTGACTCTTAGATTCAAAACAAATTTGTCAAAACTTAAGGGTTAAATCAATAGTTTGTCAACACTTAAAGGACCACTCTAGGCACCCAGACCACTTCAGCTTAATGAAGTGGTCTGGGTGCCAGGTCCCCCTAGGATTAACCCTTTTTTTTTTTAATAAACATAGCAGTTTCAGAGAAACTGCTTGTTTATAATAGGGTTAATCCAGCCTCCAAAGCCTCTAGTGGCTGTCTCATTGACAGCCGCTAGAGGCGTTTGTGTGCTTCTCACTGTGAAAATCACAGTGAGAAGACGCAAGCGTCCATAGGAAAGCATTACGAATGCTTTCCTATGAGACCGGCTGAATGCGCGCGCAGCTCCTGCCGCGCATGCGCATTCAGCCGAAGAGGAGGATCGGAGGCGGAGAGCTCCCCGCCTGGTGCTGGAGAAAAGGTAAGTTTAACCCCTTTCCTCTCCCCAGATCCTGGTGGGAGGGGGACCCTGAGGGTGGGGGCACCCTCATGGCACTATAGTGCCAGAAAAACGAGTATGTTTTCCTGGCACTATAGTGGTCCTTTAAAGGGTTCAATCAATAGTATTACACTGAAGCATCAGTGGGTGCCCACTGGTTGGAACTTTACATACATGTTGGACTTAGTAATTCCTTTTTTATGCATTTTCAAATGTTGATAGTTTTGACTAGCATTGGTATTCCTATTATTTTTTTTCAGAACAGTCACTAATCTTTTGACTCTGTCCTATGTATCACATCACCTTGCTTGCAGGTAGCTCAGATAGCCTAGTCTATCACCGGCTGCCCCAAAAAGGTTCCTCGAACTGTGGGCAGTGCTGTCGGAAGCCAAGGGGCCGACTGCTGGAAAATGGTGTATCCCCTAAAGGCGATGGCGCACTGACACTCCAGACCCATAACATCCTTAAAGAGCTGAAGCTGTTATGGAATGGGAAAGTTCCTTTCATTGTTTATTGGTATATTAATTTGCATATAATTTCTTGACAGGTCAAAGAAAAGCTGACTATAGGTGCCGTGATGCATGGTAGGGATCTGGCAGAGTATAATAGGAGTTTAGTTTCACAAAAACTACAGGCCAGTCTGGGTGTGTACAGTTCCCCCTCGTCGCGTTTCATTCACTACAGCAAAGGATTCTGGGTGGGCATATGCAAATTAGAGATTACGAAGAATGAAAAGAATACTTTGTGGTAGTAACATTGTATTAACCATCCGCAGACTTAAGATGGAAGGGGTTTTCAATAGGGATCGAGAGATATTAATATTTTAGAGCTGATACAGTTAATTTGGGAACTTTCAGGCTGATAGCTGATAGCTTACCGATATTTACAGTATTTTTTTTTGCAAATCTTTTTTTTATTAAGTGGTAAATGCACAAAATATACATGCCAGTCAGATTTTTTTTCATGTTTTCAAGAATATTTATATGTGTGTGTAGTGGATGCAGTGAGAGTATTTGTCAAAAGAAAAACAAAAATAGAGCCAAAAAAAACACTAAAGAAACGGGGGATAACCCTAAATAGAAAATATCAGAAAGAAGGGGATAGTGTACCTACACAGTCTGAAATTGAAGTAAAAAAAAATCATGACTTGCTTAAAAACTCAGAGTTATCAGACTAATCACTACCAGACATAGTACCGGATTAATAAAATAAAAAAATAAAAAAATTTTATTCAAAAAAACTTTAAACAAAAATAATGTGTGGTGAATGTGTCTGTGTACAAACGATTACCAAATTTGTGTAGAAATGATTAACAAATTATGGGTACTAGAAATCTATACCCTGTTAAAAATATCTAATGGTATAAAAAATTACAATGTAAGCTAGAATATAGTCTGTAATTGCGTGCAACAACTGCACACAAAGAATAAAAAAAATAAAAAAATAAAATCACAATGTAAACTAGGGTATAGTCACTGCAACAACCGCTTCCAAAAATAAATAAACTGTCAAGACTATCTAGACTACGACAGTTGATGCCGGACAAAACAGGACTGATTAGGACGTCACAGGTAGATTGGAGTGTGGAGTCCTAACAGTATCAATAATCAAGTTCCCCCTCGTCACGTTTCATACACCACAGCAAAGGATTCTGGGTGGGCATATGCAAATTAGAGATTACGAAGAATGAAAAGAATACTTTGCGGTAGTAACATCACTGCAAATTTGTGATTTCTGTGGGAAAAGCAAGTCTTATGGCTTGACTGGTGTGCAGATTTTTGTTTAAGACTTAAGGTGGAAGGGGTTTTCAATAGGGATCGAGAGATATTAATTTTTTAGAGCTGATACCGTTAATCTGGGAACTTTCAGGCTGATAGCTGACCAATATTTACCGTATTTCTTTTTTTGCAAATCTTTTTTTTATTAAGTGGTAAATGCATAAAATATACATGCCAGTCAGATTTTTTTTCATGTTTTCAAGAATATTTACATGTGTGTGTAGTGGATGCAGTGAGAGTATTTGATTAGTAAATGCAGTGTGTATGTGTTCGTGTAGTGGATACAATGTGTTTGTTTGTGTAGTGGATGCAGTGTGTGTGTTTGTGTAGTGGATGCAGTATGGGTAGTGGATTCACTGTGTATGTTTGTGTAGTGGGTGCAGTGTGTTTGTGTGTAAATATGTGCAGTAGGAACACCCCCCCTTTACCTGTCTCTTAGTGCCCCCCCTATGTTCCAGCCCCTTCTCTTTTAGTGGTCCCGTCCCTACCCCGGTGTTCCTTTTCCCTTCCCTCTCCTGTACCTTAGTGTCCTCCATCAACCCTAGTGTTCTTCACCCCCCCCTTCCCGCCCCCATAGTGTTCTTTTCCCCTGTCCCATAGTGTTCCTTACCACCCCCTTACATAGTGTTCCTTTCCACCCCCACTTCCGCATTGTCTTCCTTACCACCCCCATAGTGTTTTACCACCACGGTGCCATAGTGCCCCCCCCGTCCCTTAGTGCCCCTCTCTCTCTACCCTCCTTGGTCCCCGGCACTTCCTTTCAGCCAAGCTACACAGAGTGCCTGGCAGGAGGGAGCGCTGTGTGCCCACCTTCTGCCGGTCACTCCAATCTTTCACCCCCCCGGGCCGGTGGGCCCTAAGGCGGCTGCTTGTGCTGCCTTATGGACGCCTCAATAAAAAAAACTGTAACCAACCTCATGCTGATGATTTGCATTAACAATGAAACAGCTTTCCATGAGTGGTTCACTTGGTTTGCATCTTTTCCTAAGTTGTGTTTCAAAGCTGTTGCATACAGCAAACACAGACTCAAAGGAATCCATGTTTAAAATGGAAAAATGTGATTCTTTGTTAAACTAATTTGCATATACCCACCCAGAATCCTTTGCGGTAGTAAAATCACTGCAAATGTGTGATTTCTGTGTGAAAAGCAAGTCATATGGCTTGACTGGTGTGCAGATTTTAATTTAACGTTGTATTTTATATATATATATATATATATATATATATACATACCCAAATAAGTTCAATATGTCCAGTTATATAATCTGATGATAAGGAAAATAGTTTGCATAAGGGATCACTCAAAGAAGTGGTCTGGGTGCAGTGGTTCTGTTATTCTAATCCTGCAATGTAAAGCATTACTACAGTAATACACCTCTACTGTCTGGCTTCCTGAAAACTAGGCCCTGGAATCAAATACTGCCGATATCACCATTTGATTGGAATAGTGTGGCATTTGGCCGTATATGCCTAATTCCAGTCCATTGCTTTCTAATATGAGGCAATGAATTGGATGAGATTGCGGGTAATGTCAGCTTGGGGGCTGAGGCAGAGGAGCTAAAAATGAGGTGAGTAATCATTAGTCAATTTAAAAAAAATTTAATGCCTAAGGAGGTTACACAGAAGGGAACATATAGGTTCCCTTTAATACCATCTACTGCACAGCTGTCAATCAGAAATGGCAATCTTCCATTTAGCTACCATATTATCTTTAAATATATTGAACTGTATTTATCTATTTCAGTGTACTAGAGCAACTCTATCAATTTTAAACTTTTAATAAAGATATACAAAACAAAGAAGGGACTACTTGATCCCATGCAATTGTCAGTTTGGCAGGCATTTCCTATTTTGGGGTTCTTTTCAATAAGGACCTATACATTGACTATGCCACTTTAAGGTCTCTGGTCACTTGTACACAACCAGCATTATATTAGTTTACTTGCTAAGCAGAAATAATGGACACCTTAAAACAGCTGCATTTTGGCTTAATTGGGTTATTGTTTTTAACTTTCCTTCATCTTGAATGTTTCTAACAGAATTCTAAAACTTGGTTGTCAACTGTTCAGTAAGTTAGCTCTTCAACCCACTCAAATCCATTTTAATCATTCTAAAGTGTCTCCACAAGAATCCAGGAAAAAATTAGTGATCACAAAATCACTTAACATCATAAGGGTCTCTCTCGGCTGTGGGCGCAGTTACATACAAGAAGACGTCATATGGGCACTCAACTGGTTAATCTTGAGTACACATAGTTACCTTAATAGCGGCCTTGTCAGCAAGTATTCTGCTGGAAGGCACTATCCCTTTCCAATGGGCATATTTCCCAGTATAAGACAAATCACCTAGTCCAAATTTGTTTTATGAAGCCACTAAAACCATAACTGGAAAAAAACATAGCTTACTGACAGTAAATCGTTTAATGTAAAAGGCCAAGACTGTCTTTTAACTGAGATATCAGAAACAAATCAAGGAGACGCATTCATAAGATTAATCAAATGACTATGTTCAGAAAAGGGACTTTCAGATTGATTTGCCTACTGTGCCTCAATATCCATTATTCTGGATCAAAGTAAGACTTTTCCTTCTGCTCCCAAAATACATTTATTATATTGCCTAAAAAACATATGGGCTGGTTGTTTCATATATGACGCGAAGGCCCGCATATGATATCAAAAAGAAAACGATACCCTACAAAAACAAGTTATCCACACAATCCACATATTTGTAGTGCTACATCCACATTTTTATTTTTGTTCATATGCGAAATTGCAAAATATATATATGTAAATAAGTAAACTCAATTCTTTAAGGTAGAAATGTATACCCAACAAGCATGCACATGCAGAAAGTCCTTCCAGAATAAATAAACCTCTTATCTAGATATGCAAACCGCATTGGAATCCTGGGATACTTAAAGGCATTCTACAAAACGTAGATGCATTTTACTGCAGCATTTTGCATCTTAAAGGGATGCTATAAACACCAAATGCAACATTAGTTTAATGAAGTTGTTTTGTTGTATGCATCATGTCCGTGCAGTGTAACTGCTCAACTCTCTGTCTTTTACTGTTAAATCACGTTGTTTATGCAGACCTAATCACACATCCCCTCCATGTGACCTATATATTTCCTGTAAATAGTGATATAATGTTTAAAAGGACACTCTGGACCCCATAAGCACTCTGGACCCCATTAGCTTGCTGAAATGCTTTATGTGTGACGATTGTGTCCTCTTTTTTCATTTTACCAAAAAGTGAGGATTTCAATATAAATTCATCTTTCAAACAGACAACAGGTCCTGTTAATTCCTTGTTTCTTTAGCTCAGTGGAGCTTAACTCAAGAGGCAGTCAATTGCCCAGAGCACCTGTCTTGCAAAGACTTCTCAATGAGCTGCATTGAGAAGTCTGGACCATCACAGAAAGTCTGTGCAGGAGAAGAAGGGGGGGGCTTGTAAAATCACCAAAAAAAGAGACCTGCAGCCCTTATTGTACAGTCTGTTTAATTTAGAATTTCTTATCTCTCAATAGTTTGCTAGAGCATCTGTATGTATTTAAAGTTCAGCAAAGCAGAAGATAAAAGCCTCTAAAGTGAACACACTGTGCTGATGGAAAATGAAACCATTTTATTTTTTTTCATGCAGGCTGTGTGAGTCACAGTCAGGGGAGGTGTGACTCGGGCTGTATAAACATACAAAAGTAATTTAACTCCTAAATGGAAGAGGACTAGGCAGTGAAACTGCAGGAACATGATTTATACACTAAAACTACTTAATTATGCTAAAATTGTTTTAGTGTTTAGTATATTCCTTCAACCCTGCCTGCTCTGTCAAATCTTGTTTATTGTAATATATTTCCTTTTTGCTGTTTACAGTACCACAGTGCTAGATGTCAGAACACATACAGGACTTATATTAACCGGCATTCAATCACAATCATGAGTATGAGATCTCAGTGTGAGATTTCATATAAATGCTATTTATATTTTTGCCAGGAACACTTACCAGGAAGTTGTACTTTCTGGTTATCCTCGGTCTTGCTGCTAAGTATAAGTATTCTTCTCACATCATAGGAATCTAAGAATTTTTGCTGGAGGTTCCTGACAAAAAGTACCACCAGAAAAAATATAGTTTGCCTCCTCAGTGAGGCATCATGGAAAGCTATGGTAACTCTCTATGACATTTTTGTCAGGAACAGCAAGTCCTTCAGTAAGATCCCATGATGTGAGAAGTAGTTGTTTCTTTGGTACTGTTTATAAAATCTGTCAGGTTTTTGCCTGTTTTTCTTTTGCACCCTAACCACCATTTATGAATATATATACCATTTGTTCCACAGATGCAACGAATTTATCAATCTATAAATTGGTCACTTTTTTTCCCCTCAGATTAAGTTCCCTTTTTTCCAACACTAAATTTGGGACTCTTTTATGAAATGTACATTTTCATGAAACATTTCAGTAGAGAAGAATCAACACTTTTAGATATTTTTTACAACAATTTCATAAATACAAACAGATTAGAGAGCAAACAAATCCCCCCAAAACAAAACACTTTTTTGGATTAACTAAATAAATTGCCTGCAATATCTCTTTTTTATTATATAGCAGGTTTATAAACCTACCTTAGAACACATACTAAAGCACTGAGCAATGTTTTGTTTTGCAGTTTTATTCATGAGCCTTTGTGGTACTTTATTTGAAAGGAAAATGAAGCAGAAAAAAAAGAGAGAAAAAAAGAATGCTTCTCTAAAGCACATCACTGGGTAGACTAATGAACCACAGTGGCACTTATACATGTTTGAGATATTTTCACGACGGTGTAAAATGTGGTCTATTTTTCTATGAAACTACCCATGAACAAAATTAAAAAAATGTACAGTGCTCAACAGTGAGTGTTTTATTCACTAAACAGTGAACGATGGTGAGCTCTAGACTAAACTAACAAAATTGAGACTACAAAGAACTCCATTCCTATTGTGGTTTCTTTTGACCTAAATGTTTTACAAATCTGGTTTTCTAAAATGCACAACCTCGAACAATCAGATACTTTATCAAAATCTGTACCAAAAACTACACTACATATAACGTTTTTTTTTTCTCAGAGAGTCAGAAGTCTAATGGGAATACTTCACCAGAAAAGTGGTTAAGAAATTAATCCTGTTCAATAGAGGATTGTGGGAGGTGGTATAAAAAGTGTCTGCTGTATGTCATTTGTATTTCTTTCACAGCACATTAAACTCCTATGAAGAATGAAAAATGTTAACCTTTTCATTATCATATGGGCAGAAGATGGTCTTTGCAGAGTATTGACATGCTGCTCTAGCCCTCGAAGGGTTAAGCTATACAGAATGCCTAGCTGACTTCTCAGCAAGGATTAGAAGTGTAGGTGTGGTACAGACAAAAAAAAAATGCAATGCTTTCTCCGACACACCTTTTTTCCATTATTTTTTTCTCATTCTCATAAACCCTCTCTAAACTTCATTTATCGGGCATTGTCAAAGCCAACATGTTTATTTTTTTATGCGTTTGCAATAACCTTAATGAATCAATATAACATGCTCATCAAAAGGTAGCCGCCAACAGATAAGAGACCGACCTTACCTGTAGCACAAAGTGCAATAAATGTCTGTGCGTGTTTCCGGACCAAAAGTAACTTGTCTTGAGGCAGTGGAAGCTTTCTCAATATATGTTCGATAAAATCATGTGGGGTCACGGCTGCGAGATTCCACTTCAATTTTCCTAACACCACCAGCTCCCACTCCTGAGAGACAAAGCAAAAAAGAGAACCTGAATTTAGTTTCTCTTTTCCTCCCCCTCCCCTTCTAACACCTAATCATATCACTGATAGATCACATTTACTTAAAAATTTGTTTTTTAAAATGTGAACTAAGCTTTGAAGTAGTTGACTTACTCTGTACCCATACTCTAATCCTCTGAAGATAATAGGACTTGAGGGAAACTGCCAATTCCTCTGTCTCTGCGCTTTCTATATCCTGTCTTTTATACCCTCCCAACTTGGCATGGAATCACACAATGTCAAGGTCACAGTCCTCACTCTGAATTGTCACTCTATCTCTACCTGTAACTAGGCTTATGTACAAATTACAAGGCAATACCACTGTAGGCACTTCATACCAAAGAACGTTTGTGCATTTATATACAAATATGTCACACACATAAATTCATGTACACAGATATTTCAATCCAATAACTGGGACCAACATAATGCATTTGTACACAATATACTAGTCTGTGTACAAAATAGAGAATCAAGGGTTTATTCACCGAAAACTGCATTTGCAAAATACATATAAACAAACAAACAAAAAAAAAAACCATCTCAGCCTCCACATATATTACCAAATTGGATAGTTTGCAAATCTGCGTTTCATTTCACAGTATTAGCTGTTTAGTGAATAATCCATTTAGGTATATATTTTTTATTTTGTCTTTGTTGACATACATTTATTTTCTAATAAATATTTCTGAACTTCCTGGAGTGCACAAAATGTTCTCTTACATTATCCAGATGTTTATGTGTAGCTCCAAGGCCAACGTACATTTTACTTGGTAGAAAGAATGCTTAATATATGCAAACACATTTAAAAAGCTTACATATTGCAGACTTTCAGGTATATACTAAAGTGTGAATTGACAGAATGCAAAGTGAGTTTTAGGCCGCAATAGACAAATAGGAAAAAAATGTTCCTTTCAGCTATTTTGGCCTATTCCGTGAACAAAACTGGGGTATCTCATCAAGTAGTAGTCTAAAAGATTTTTCAAACACCACATTGATTGTGAAGGGGGAGCTGATGTGGTCTGTTCAGATTTGATCCACATAAAAAAGCATCTGCATGCAAAGATTAAGATCCATTTTTGTTCTACACTGCTCCAGTGACAGATTCAAAGTAAAATATATTATGAATTGTCAATCTTAGGCACACTCTAAATGTAATAGCTTTGTGAAGAACAACAAAGAAAGCTACTGTCTTAAAATCAGTGTCAAAAATAAACATAGGGGTGACCTTTGCACAGTAAGGCGTATTAAACAGAAACTGAGCAGATAGAATTTGATCAATAGGTTTTAAAACATTAAACACAAATCAGCAAATAAAGACAGAAGGGTCATATTAATTTATTTATGGATATCTTGTACTTAATGTCCTTTTTGGTCAGAAACACTGCTTAGAACATATAATGTATTTTATGGCCTCTTTGGTTAGAGCATGCAGGCAATCAAGAGCTAGGGCATGTTTGCAAAAAAATTACATTGGGTGCTGGTCATTTAAAAAAATGCACTCTGGGCCAGTTTCAGCCACTCAGACGATGCATGACCCTGTTAGATAAATGGTGTTTTTGACTGAAGAGGAGTTAAAAATGGTCACCCCCAAAGTGAAAGGATAAGCCAGGTGATTCTTGGAAAAAAAGGTGTTAATGTAACCTTCCACACAACTTTTTTCTTTAAATATTTAGTAGATAACACCCAGAAAACATGCATTTAAAGCAACACTGTCACTTTGCAGGTTTTTATATTAAATCATATTTTTATGCCCTTATTTCCCTGAAATTCACTTTTGTTTCTTACACATAACAAAAGTAAGTACGACATTTTCTTATGGAGAGCAAGATCTTTGACAATTGACAGAGCTTAAAAGCAGCACTGTTATGCCATACATACCTTTCTTAAATAAATTCATATTCTTCCCCTCTCTCAGAACCAGGTATTTTTCATTTTCAATTTTTACCTTATCTTCTGTATTTTTACTATGCTTGACAAAGGCTTAAACAAGGTCCTCTTCCTGTTACATTCAATTGTCCCATAATGCTCACCACACCACCAAAGCCAGGTGACACTGGGGGGCAAAAATTAACGACTTTTTTTTTTAGTCCAAAGTAGACTTTCCTGTCTGTGCTGGACACTGTTCATTCAGACAAGGCTTTTTATTGTGGACAAATTATGCACGCGTGCAAATGTCCACTTCAGGTTTTGGTGAGGCAATAAACCCTCTTGGCTGTCTGATTGACTGCTGGGAAGGTGTGACAAAGACATTTTATCACAGCGTAATTTTCTCTTGAAATCAACACTTTTATAAAATAAGCCTGCAGGAACAGGAGTATTACATCAAAGCACTTCACTAAGCTTAGAGTGTACATTTCACTTATGTATATGCATTAACAAATAATATACAAATGGACTATATTATATGCAATATTTTATTTTTAAAAATCAGGTTTTTCTTTTAATGCATTACAAAGATAATGCATTGGGCTAAGCTAAGCTCTCAGCCGAGGCACGGTCTGCGCTTGCTTGGGCCAGCTCTCACACCACATTTAAAATTTTGATAAATTTGACATAGCCAGTCCAGAAACAAAACTTCCTGGCTGACAGACAAGAGTGAGAGGTGTAGTTACACCCTGGCAAGAAAATTAATATATTTTGTAATTGTGAGCTTTTCTTCCAGCTTGCACGCTGAAACGCTTAGGGATCATAGGAAAACCCTTCAAAAGTCACACACGACTTGTTCTGAGCTCTAAGGTTAAAACAGTTGTGTAAAGATGGACTACTTGATTAGTGCCGATTCAAACTCCTAGTTTGGTGCAAAAGGCAGCAATCTATTTGCAAAGGCAACCAACACAAAACACAGGCTGAAATCTAAAATTACATACTGTGTCTTCAAATAGATGTTTTAATTTTCCCATTGCTTATCAATGCAAATGTGATCCAAACAAGGATTTTGAGATAGTACTTTAGAGAGATATGTCACTTTTTCACACCTCCAGTGTCATGGTTGGCCATCACTACATTTTCCACAGTTTACAAAACAAGTATTCAAGCTTATAAGGAGCAGTACACATGTGTTGCTTAGTGTATACAACAACAGATGTGGACAGTTGCAGAGTGGTAACCTGACTCTCGGAATAAAAAAAAAAGTGCTGGGTGCTAATCTCTAATTATCTCTGTTATTTCCTAACTACACTTATAGCTTTTACAAATTTTACATAAATGGCACAAAATAAATCAAATCATAAGCAAGATATGTAGAGGTAATATAATAAAATAATCAACTGAGATATCAAGCAAAACTATTTTAACAGATGAATGCTTAGGTTTCTTGACTCCTATTACTTTTTTGGGATTCGCAATGTAGAATAAATTAGGATTTCATTTTTTTTTCTCCAGTAAATTATGGACTTTGTAAAGCAGAAAATATATCAATTTTCCTAAAATGCAGAAGTTCATTTCATTAAATACACAAATAAACGAGATATAAATATATAACTGCTATCCAGGAAATATTCAGAAAGTCATATAATGAAACATTTGTGCAATAGTCTCCACGTACTATTTCTAGGAAAATTGTAATCAATTTTAAAGAAAATTAATTAGTATTTTCTTTCCACTTTTTTAATGTAAAAGTTAGTCTAACCACAAGGTGGCAGGAGATACCAAACATTCTCTAAACAGATGCAGGTCACCTCACCAGATCAGAATTTCTCTAACAAATATCTTAGACTTACAAAGTCAGTGTGTGCGTGCATAGTATAAAAAACATATATATATATTATATATATGTATATCAAGAAAGAACCTCATGTGAAATATACATAAATATGCACTTATCAGTATGAAAGAATCTCACATAAACTACAGCATCTATGTTTTAAAAAGTTTCCTATGCAAATAACAGATCTGCAAACGCAGAAACAATAAATAAATGTAAAAATTAAATACCAATAAATAACTTGTGTGTTTAACTAAATATATAAAAGTGCAGAAAGTTGCTAAAGCAAATGTATAAAGTAGATCCCACCTTCAATACGTTTAACACCAAGTATAAAGATAGAGGTTCCTAGACAGAGGAGTGTCTGGTAGTTAAACAGATATAGTTTTCCAGTGGAATAAAAGATGTAAATATTTATTTTAGGGGAAAAAAAAAGCTGCTTACCAGCAGCTCCTGGGGTTTAATTGAATTGTCAGTATATATGCAAAGTTTTTCTGCTGTTAAAGGGATGGTTTCTTTGAGTTTTGATGCAAGAAACATGCAGACAGCACCAAGAAGCTGTAAATGGGATTTTCGAGTTGGTATGACAGCTAAAAATCTATCCAAATAATTCATTGCCAAAGGGAAAACCTCTTCCTCGCACTTCTGCTCTTCACAAACCTAAAATAAAAATGTAAAAAAAAAAAGGAAGAGGGAAGGGTAAGGGAAAGTTAAAGAAGGAAAGGAAAAAATGGGGGAGAGGGAGAAGAAAAAAAAATTAATTGGTATTTTTTAATGTATACATTTTTTTTATTATTACGATATTAAAACCTTCTCATAAAGAAATGTTAATGTTAGACATTGTGCTAAATGCTACAAGGAATACCAGATGTTATGAAAAAGAAAGGACTAAGTTATCATTCTGTTAAACGTGAATAAGGGGGCATGGATATTATATTTTAAAACTTAATGAAAAATGTTACTTTTGGCAAAATAAAGTTAAAAAGAGAAAAAAATATGTTGAAACCTTACAATCAATCAAACTGTAACTTTGAGATTAAGAGGTATTCAAAGAAAATATATAAAAACCTTATATATTAGGGCAACATGTGACTTTTGTGGCAAGGGATATAAAAAAAATAAATATAGAATACAGTAAAAGTATAAAATAAAACATACTGTGACTTTGGGATGAAGTACTTTGTGATATAAACAAGCAATGAAAAGTAATAAAACACTAGTTTAATAACAGATTTGTATTTAAAAATTAATAATATATAAAACCCTACACTCAGTAAAGTGATGTGTGCCATTGTTGGTATTGAAGACACAGAGAAAGGGAAACAAGAGAATGTTAATGTTTTTTCAAAGATTACATTTTATCAAAAAAATATATAAAAAATCTGTAATAGAGAATGCCATTCTGAGTGTGAGCGCACACTCATCTCTCCCCAACCACACTCAATGAAGGAAGGAATTGATTCAAGTCACACTCACTGCAAAAACCTCCACCCAGATATTGTGACTATTTCTGATTTCGTCATATTTTCAAAAAATATTTAAAAATACTTAAAAAATCCACAGCCTTCCCAACTTTGGTGGATGAGCTAGAGCAGACTCCCCTGCATCTTTCCCGACAATTGTGGGGTGAGATGGGTTAGGTTTTGGGGGGTAAATCCCTCGATGAAGTAGAGGAGGGTACACACAGCTGGAGAGCATGGCTGCTGGATAAGGGGGGGTTGGGCCAGTCTGAAGCTTCTAATAATGACACTATAGAAAACAGCAGATACTGAGAAGGGAGAAAGCAGGGGTACACTCCATTTTAGGGGTTCATACCTATCTTTAGGTATAAATAATAAAACACCCGTAGATATGAGCTTAAAATCAAAGAATTGCATAACACGCATGCAGGATCTGGGACCACCCCAAAAACACACTATCGATAAAACACAGGAACTTTACTCACCCCCAAATTTGAGGATCATAATCACCCCCTATTCTTATCATAACTTCTATGGGGATTAACCCCTGAGGGCACATGTAACCCTAGAACTACTGAAAGGGACTACAACCCCCATCAGCCAGAGTAGCACGTGAAAGTGCTTCACTAAGCCAAATGTATAAAGTGTTAGAGATGGAGGGTCAATACCAAACATAGATTAACCCCATCAAAGCTGACCTTCTGCATGACATAGTGGAAGCTTAGACTATGACCCAGCACTTTAAAAGTTAAAAATAAAGTTGCATTGCAAAAGAAGCACGTCCCCTCCCATCCCCAAAAGACTAGGCAATGGGGCTGATTATCAAGGAATAGTGGTAGGAAATCTCCACTGATAACCCCTCCACCCCATGTCCCTTAAACGGAGCTATTACATGGGGGAGACAGGATTCTGGGGAGGAGATGAAGCAGGCACAAAACATGGAGGCACAGGCAGGGCAAGCAAGGGAAGCCTGTGCATACGTGGGCACAAAGGAGGCCACTGAGGGAGAGAAAGCAGGAGTACTCAATGGGGCAGACAACACCACGTTGTCTCCCCCCAGAGGTAATAAGGCTATAAAAGCCCTTCCAGACTCCCCAAGAATGTGGGCAATTTCCACTCCACACCCTGTCTCTGCCAAGCAAACTTTCAGCACAGTATAAAGTCTGCAACACGTGCATGAACCCAAACTGCTCTATAAAAAATATATATATAGAAAAATAAAAGGTTTTTTTTTGTTTTTTTAATAAGCGACATGCATAATAGATTCAGGCTACAGATACCAACGCACAAAATGCAGGGAGAGATATGGATAACCATTTTATAAACTGAAAGGAACATATGCAGCTTGTGTCTAATAAATTCGGGCTGCTAAAAAAAAAATTATAAAAATAATATTGGGTCCTCTATGAATGTTAAACCTCATCAAGTCTACAAACAAAATACCAGCCATGCATAGAATAAACAAAAAGGTGACATTCTTGCATGGAATGCTTAAAAAAGAACTTAGAATGCAATGATTGTCTATAACACACCATGCATTCACATAGCATTCAATACAGTCCTTGAACAGAATAAAAATTGAACTCTTTTGACATTCAAACGATATCCAATAATCACCAGAATTTACAAAGAATTGCCCCTTTTTTTTACTCTTTTGCAACAAAGTTAGGGCTGTCAGCTGAAAGTCGGGGTAGGGGGGTATACCCTTTTTTAACTTTGCACCTACTGTAAGAGAAAGGGGTACAGAACAGATCATCTCTATATCCACCAACCTCTAACATCCAAGTGGCTACCATCCTCCTCATGAAGGGTTGGATGTCCTTCTGCACACATTTGAAGTAGGAGCACTGGGGCAGATACCTCTCCTCAACGGTGAGCAAATTGTGAAGGACACGGTCATCAAACAGCAGAGTGGGGTCAGTCTGAGCCCTAGGGACAGTGTCCATCTCACAGCACAGGAGCTCCATGCTGCCTGGCTTGTTAGTCACTGCCTTACACTATTGTATCCCTTTTCAGCAGCCACTTCCACTGCAGCAATGAGTGAGCTCCTTTCCCTTGCAGGAGGTATTGTTTCAAGCAGAGGGTCTGTTCCCAGGCTCACTCCAGTCTCCTCAGTTGATTTCTTGGTATACAGTGACGCAGCTTACTGGGCTGGACCTATACTGGTGTTATTATGTAGAACAGCAGCTGGCCAGAGTTTACAAAGTTTTTTTTCTCTCGCTCCCTCTCCTAGCTTGCAAGTAAGTAGGGAGGCCTAGTATAGGGCAGCACACACATATGACAGCTCCTTAAACTCCCGCCCCGTTGGTTAGAGAGAGAGAGAGAGAAATAATGTAGTCACTTGGAGCTGTTATCATGAAGTAAAAAAAAAAAGCCTCTCCTTGTGAGGGGTGCTGCTAGGCAGGAGTATGGGTGGTGCTGTAAAAGTGAAAGCTTGCAAGAATTTCAAGTGTACAAAGACACCTTCAATAAAAAAAGTTTAAAAAAAATAACAAACAAAACAGGAGGCTATATCATGCCAGAAGTACTCCTCCCTGCAAAATATGGGGGGCTTCTTTACAGAGTGTTTGGAACAAAAAACACACACACACACAAACAAACTCTCTCTCTCTCTCTATTACTGGTTTACAGAGGTACCTTATTAGATGTGTGTTGCATGAAATGCATTGGAAACACACTAATGCATGTGCCTAGTGCATGCATCCGCACACATGTGTACCGGTGCAATTGCATGCGCCATGAGTTCTGTTATTTCACTTGTAATCATTGATGGGCCCTGGTACAACACCAAATTTTCTTTAACAACGGCTAGGGTAAATATTCTTTATCAAAAGGCTAATCAACAGCTGATCACACAAGATGGAGGCCAAGGAATTCTGGGATTTTCATTTTTAAGTATTACTGTCAGTGTAAGTGTTATAACATATGCTTATGTTGTAGGTATTCTATAATACCATTCCATCTATGTTAAAAAGTACTTACAAACCTGAAGTACTGCCTAAGGTAGGGTGATTGTCTGGCACCTTATCTTTACTTTGCACAAGGTTTGAAAATCAATATTTTGGCATTGATAGAATACTATCTGCTTGGCTTATATTCGTGGCACACACTATCCTCACAGCTGTTTTGTCTGAATTTGAACCAACACATTCAGGATGCATAAATACGTTTAAAAACACTTTTTCGCATTTTACATTTTTACTATTAAAGTGGTATATGATGTATTTTCCTTATTGCACTATACAAGTAGAAGTTGGCATATGTATCCCATGCTAAAGTTGGCTGTGCTATACATTTCAAGTTGCCCAAACATTTTTTAAGTAAACAATTTAAACTTAGAATCATATGAGTACAAGAGAATTAACCCCTTAAGGACACATGATGGAAATATTCCGTCATGATTCCCTTTTATGCCAGAAGTTGTGTCCTTAACCCCTTAAGGACCAAACTTCTGGAATAAAAGGGAATCATGACATGTCACACATGTCATGTGTCCTTAAGGGGTTAAGGGGTTAATAAAAAGTGCATCGACAAGGCCCATTTAGCGCCAAAGACTCCTGCCATAGAGTACCTATCATTTATATAGTAACTGGGTAAAAGGTATCACAGTATTTATTGGTTAGGAAGCAGTAAATAAGAACCCAGTTGAAAAATCACAAGAACATTTAAAAAGTTCTACTACATTCTAGAAGAAATTGACTTTCTGTTTCTTCAATATATTAAATGCATTCATCCCAGATGGTGATAAATATATAGCAAGAGATAGAAATAGCTTTCATTCATTGCCAGGTTACCTGTGTCAAAAGCATATGGTTGGGGGAGGGAGGCAAAAAAAAACAAAAAAAACATGAAAATCTTTCCTTTATTGAGTTGTTCAAATATAGAAAATGCACAGTTGCTTTATAATTGTCTGTTTTTTTTCTTTTGGTGTTAGAGCTAAAATGAAGTAAGATCTAGTTTTTGCAAATGTAAGTCACTTCCTGGAATATGTGTGTTTGAATGTCAGCAATCACTATCTTCTATTGCACAGCATGGTCAGGCTGATAGGGCTTTTTCTAGGAAACACATATATGATGTAGTCATGCAGGTTGTGTCTACTTCAGTGTTCTCCTCCCTTAAAGCCCCCCTTTCTCTTTGAACCCACACAGTTGCAAACTAAAATATAGCTAACAAAAGTAAATTCTACAAGTAGTTAAAACAAGAAAAAAATACAATAAAGCTATAACATATTGAACATATATATATATATATATATCTTTCTTTCTCTCTCTCTCTCTCTCTCTCTCTCTCTCTCTCTCTCTCTCTCTCTCTATATATATATATATATAAACACACATTATAAAAAAACAATATTAATATACTTTTAATTTGCACACTTAACATTTACTAGTACTTAATGTTTTATTTAGTAGACAATGCTTACCCTATGACACCCTTAATTATCTCTATATTGAGGAAGTTTGCATATTTGTACAGCGGGTGTGTAAAATATGTTACGTTTAAACTTATTTTGTTTTACTGCCTGTTGCTACCAATATATGATCAGCAGACTTCTAAAGTTATTTATTTATTTATTTTAAATAAAAGAAATGTTCACCCCTTTCTAAATATCTAGTCTTAATAGCTTAGCAGTGGTGGGACTGCAACCTAGTGGTGCTCTCCCGAGCTTAAAAGTGAGGGGTAAATGAAATATCACTTTAACACTGTGACAAACAGTGAGCTGCCTCCCCTTCTGTATTTGCATAGCCAATAGTTCTAGTGAGCTTGCTACTGCGCGCTGATTGTTACCAGGCAGATTTTTTTTTTCTTTTAAAGGAAGCTTTTACCACATATCAGAAATAACTTTAAAAAATTAACAAAAAGAAGCTCTTTCAGAGATTATGGATTGTAAAAAGATCATATGTGATCGTTGTGCAGTTTAGAAAGAGGGAAAAATGCAAAGTATTAACCACGTGATTTCAGTACTAAATCGTACGGTACAAAAGCTACAGTTCGCGACTGCTACGTTTTTTTCTTGCGAAAATGGCGAAACATCGATTAAAACAGGGGTTCATTTTCCTAATTCCAGTTTCCCATGATTTTTCATCAGTGAATAGACATCTGTGATCTGTTACTAAACCTACTTGCCCAGCTCTTGTACAACCACGCATATGTTAATCATACATATAGCTCTCTTGTAGATGTGTGTGCGCATGTGATTGCATCCAGCATCAAAGATATTTTAAAAAGCATAAAAGAAAGAGAAAAATGTTGTGTTTTGTCCAGCTTCCTTTGCAGGACACGTGGAAAGATCGCTTCCTACATCATGTGTTTTTTTTAAAGAGCAGGCACACATACTTTTGACAACACTATCTAATCTGAGTTATTTGTTAACTTGCAAGTGCTAAATGACACACGTGTATTATATGTTAGAAAATGGATCCATCAACCAACATTTTATCTTTTTATTAATACCAAATATATAAATATCTCTGGTCAACTCTGTATACTTTTTGTCCTCTCATTATTACAAGTTATTATTTATGGGGGGTCTTTTTTTGTTTTTTTCTTCTTTTGTATCACTGATTCTGTATAGGGAGTAGATTGGCTTGCCTTATTTTTTAATGCTAAAACACAACATACTTGTCTTTTTTAACTCTTTGCATGCGTGCATTTAACACTTTAAATGCTGTGCCTTTCATGTGCATTACATACATTTTGGACTTGAAAACAAGCAAATACTCACTATATTAATACAAATGCAACAAGAAAGTTTTTGGTTTTTTTGTATAATGCACATTTTGGGTTAGGCATCTGCATTGTATCTGCATAGGCATATGCAAAATATGCTAACAGCACTCTGATAGTAGAAATATAAATATGAAACTATTACAGCAGTTCAAAAGCTAACATAGACTAAACTGTATCGCAAACATTTTAGAATTTGATTATAATTCCCCAAAGATGATATGAAAAGATGAAACGTTTCTATAAAATACAGAATTTACATAGTAAACATTTTATAGAGCATTATGATCAATCTCTCAGCTTTTTCAAATGGTTTTCATTGTTTTGATTAATTTACTTATGCTGTTAACAAAATAATTGTGATACAACGAATTTATGAACATTGTCTTTCAACTATGTAATTTTACAGTATGGTCTGAAAACCTTTGAGATGTCAAATCTTTTTTTATTTGTTTTCTATTTGTTCACTCTTTAAAACATAGTATTAGTGTTTTAAGATTACCTCTCTTATATAAAAAAAAAAGTAATGCCATATGCACTCATCAAAACAAAATACACTGAATGCTTTTGTTTATAAAGTGTAATTAGGAAGCATTGTTCTTATAACAGTATTAAACTGCCTTCCAGACCCTCTACTATATTACAATATACTCATTATGAATACCAGTCCTTGTAGTATCTTAATACAAATGTTGGGAAAATACCCTAATGCTGACTACAAAAGGCCTTAATGTAATAATGGAATCTCTTGCTGATGGACTAGTCTAAATTTGTTCATGGTTCCAGAATACAAAATTCCTTCTAACAGATAGAAAATATGCTTTTAGCATGTACTATCTCATACGCTAACTGTATTGAAGATAAGATGATTTTTTTTTAAAGTGGATTTAGACACTCTTAGATATCCCTATTTTAAGATTCAACTTTCAGTGGCCTTAAACATTGATTTGCAGAACCATGATTAATATTCATGTATCTATGAATATCAATATCTTGGTTAAACTTAAAGAATGTGCTCTTCATTTAATATATTATAGTGTTAACTTTAATCTAATAAAAATTAAAAAAAAGTGAATGCTGTGTTTCAATCAACAAGCGTGCTATGGAATAAGGCATATATGAGGCAGGGTGAACTTTTCTGAATGTCATTTATTTCCTTCCTTTAATTGCAGACCTTAAAGCCATTTGTTGCAACTTCCGCACAATCTTTAACTATTGCATTTCCACAAAATGGTTTAAGCATTTTGATCATTCCTTCTAACTATGCTGCCTCTACCTCCCCCTACACTTCCTGTAACATTCATTCACTGTTCTTGCACTTCAAACCATGCAGACATTCCCTTTATCAATGGAGAAAGTAAATAATTCAATTTGGTGAGACATACCAAAAGTAAACCCCTGGTTTTAGTTTAGTGTATTAGAGAAGCATCTCTAAAACCTTCAACTAAAATGTGACTTAAACCACAATAGTTAAAATGGAAACTGTTGTTAAAGGGGAAAAAAAAACACACTTGAATAACACTTAATTTTATATATGGTTCAATCTTTATTGCTGCTCACTGGTAAAAGTGTAAAACTTATCTGCATGAACAACTGCATTTTACACCTAAAAGAGGTTCAATTTCAAGATGAATAGTTTTTTTTAAACTCTCAACTTTAATTCACAATAATTTTAATTGT